GTGTATAAGAATTAGAATTGAATTAATAATATCCGTATTTATAAATTGTATTTTTATTAATTTAAAAAAAGCTCTATAATTAATAAAGAGCAAAGAGATAAGCTTCTTAACATCCTCAAATTTAAATTTATTAAATAAAATATTATTATACTAATATTAATATAGATTTCTTTAAATAGGTTAACTAATGTTTACAAGATTAATACTTATATTTTAATAAATCAATATTTCCACTTTTATAAAAAAATTCTTACACTATTAATTCAGAAATCTATAAAGATATATTATTATTATAATTATTATAAAAAAATAAATTTTGGTTTATTTATTATTATTATTATTCCCTTTAATAACAAGCTTTTTAATAAAATTTAAAAATCTAATAAAATATTATATTATAATATATAGATTAAAAGTTTCATTTGATTTTTTTTTTTTTTATAATTATTATATAATTTAATAAAGCTTTTAATTATATTTTTATATACAATAATATAAAAAAACTATATATAAAAAATAATATAATATATATTAATAATCTTATTATATATATTATTCATTTAATTAATATTAATATTAATAAATCTATATATAGAGTTTTTTATAATAAAATGAAAATAAAACTAAATAAAATATAATATAATATAATCTTACTAAAAAAACTTTTAGAAAGTTTAGTAGGTTTTTTGAAAAGGGATACTTTCAAGATATAATCTCGAAAAAGAAGTATACAGACTATATTAAGCTAATTAAATCGGGGCAATTCAATGAAGTAAACATTATACCTTAAGCTCTCATTACTAATGATAACCCGGTGAGCTTTAATTGAAATATAAATAGTTAAGGAAACAAATTATTTATTATATCCATTATTTTATATATAATAATAAAACTGAATTCTAATAATAATATAAATTCAGTTTTCAGAAATAAAATAAGGTATAAAGATATTATAAAGGTTTATTGTAATCTGAAATCTATCTTCAATAAATATATTATTAATAATAAATAATATGAAATTTCCGGATTTCTAATTAAATATCATTTAGCTTTATAAAACCTTATTAAATAAGTTTTTATTAATAAATTTTTTTAAAATAATATAATTATTTTTAATAAGATAATAAATCTTTTTATTATAAATAATTAAGATTTCAAAGAATAATATAAAAAATATAAAGTAATTCTCAAATTTTTTCTTGTACAAACATTTAATAATACTAAGCTTATTAAAAGAAATTATAGAAATAAGTTTTACTTTAAATCTGTTAATAATATCCCAAAGGATGAATATAAATATATATATATTAAATTAGATAATGAAGAAAAAATTGGATTTATCCCATTTAATAATAATAAAAACTCTAATTCTGATAAAAATCTTGAAAAGGATTTAGATAATGTTTTGAATAAAAATTCTAATTCGGATTATAATCTAAATTTAGATTCAGATTAAAGCAAAACTAAATTTTTAGATATTTCAAGATATAAAAGGTTTAGATGTAATAAAACTCTAAAGACAAATAAAAAATTAGAATTTGGGATATATAAAAAGACTTTCAAATAGTATAAAATCAATAAAAGTGTTGAAATTCTAAATTAATAGAATAATTAGATTTGATAATAGATTTTAAAAATAACTTTGAATTATTAAATTATTGATTTATTATAATTTTATTAAAATTCAATAAAATTATAATAAATAATATTAAAAATAAATAAACAAATTACTATATTTAAAAGTATTAACACCTATATCTTTTCTTATTTTGTTTTTCTTATTTTTCTTTTTTTTAGAATATACTTTTTTTCTTTTAATTTAATCAGAATAATTAATCTTTTTATATAAAAAAGAATATAGGCAAAACTTAATACTAGTTATATAACCTTTTTTTATAACTAATATTTATAAATCTTTTTTATATAAGTTTAGAAAAAAATAGTTAGTTTCTATTCACCTTCTTGTATATTTTGTGATATACTATATAAAACCTATTCCTCCTCTCCTCCGCTAGAGGTGTTATGTCTTAATAACTTATCTGTAGTATTTACAAAGAACTACTTTATAATCCTACCACCTTCTATTCTTTTATATTATACTAAATATAATCCCAAAACGAGAATAGAATAAACCGAAAAAGAATCACTAGTCAATTATAGATCTTAGAAAAGTTTACTTTAATTTTATAATAGAAATCAGAGTTTTTTAATATTATTCTATAAGATTTTAGGTTTTTATTTGATTAAATTCATTATTTATTTAATTTAAATATAATGGTAAGCTAGTCTTATGGATTAGTTCTTTATTACAATTTTATTGAAAATTAATAAAATTAGCTAAATCATATTTTAGCTTACTTGAGATAAGCAAGCTCTAAAGGAGGAGTACTATTATAGCACCAATTATATTACCTTTATACCTCAGGCATATACCATTAGCATACCCTATTTTTTATAAAAGGGCCTTACCCTTCCATAGCTCTTCCACCTTTATAGTACAATATAAGTCTTTACCCGTACCTTGACATACATATACCTTTTCTCTTCCAGCATATTCTCCATTCTCCCTTACTCCAATCCATATACCATTCCCACTACAGTTTATTATCTATTCCTCTTCCATAATATACTCCTTTCTCCCTTATTCTAGCATATTCTTCACTCTACCTCTAGCGCAGACTCCTGCATATTTTTCATTTTACCTCTAGCACATACTCCCTTCTCTCCTTAAAGTATTCTCTATTCCTCTTCCAATACATTCTCTTTTCCCCTCCAGCAAATTCTTTATTTCTCCTTCAATGTATACTCCATTCTATCTTTATAATTGGCCATACCGTATCATCCTACCATGATCAGAAAACGTTCAATGCCTCAGAACCTCTCTCGTATCGAGGATGAATCCGATTCTCTCGCTCCCCCGTGCGGAGAACCCGACAGTATTATCAATGACAATTGTCTTCTCACTGAAGCCGTTGTTATGTTAGTCAAACCAGACCCAGACTCAACTTACCTTCAAGACTGTAGTTGCTCCCAATTCACACTTCGTTGTTGAACCTGAACCTTCCATTGATTTCAACAGAGCCTCCAGTGTTCCAAATATCAGCGTCCCTTTGATGAGCATGATCAATCCAATCACCATCAAGCTGAAATCCACATACCTCAGAAGCCGACCTACCACACACCCATTCCCAAGTCCATCTTTGCTCTGACTCCAAGCCCATGCATTCTTGTCGAGTCAGATCTAACTTTAGTCGAGGATTCCGATCTTGAGCCTCTCGCTCCCCCAGGCGGAGGTTTCAAGACACTCGACCACCAACAACTTCTCCACCCCGTCAATCACCAAGCCTCCTCCAGATGTAAGTAGAATAAACCATTCCAATTATATACATACCGTGAAAGAGTGGAAAGAAATAGGATCATAGGCTAACTAAGCTTTTGCATATACAGTGACCTACAAAAAATAAGAGCCGTAACTCAAAAACACACCAAAAATAGCCATTTTTCAGTGTTTTTAAAGTACTCTAATTCTGTATCGATTGAATATTTAGATTTCAAACTTTCAAATATAATAAATATTTAATAGAAGTTTAATTAAAAATGAATGAAATGTTTTTGAAAATTTATTTAATCTTGATATTTCGATTCAAAATCGAAAAAATCAAAAAATCAAAAAGTACAATAAATTTACTAATAAAAATGTTACAAAATCGAAAATTTCAATTCAATTAATTTTAATTAATTATATCAAAACGAAATAATTTAGAAAAAAAAATTCAACTTTTTTTTATTAAAATTTATATAATTTTCTATATTCAAATAAAATTTCATTATAATAAATCTAAAGACTTTCTAAATATATAAAAATACAAAGGTTGAATAATGGCTATTTTTGATGTGTTTTTGAGCTACGGCCCTTATTTTTTGTCTAGTACTGTACTGTGAAATACATTTTCCTCTTTATTTTCCCTACCTAAACATATATAATACCTTTTCACGATTGTCTGAATCCAGATCAAACATCAACCTGTTCTCATTATTTCTAATTGCATGGGACATTGTAAACCAATTTCACCTCAGAAGCTTTCTATTGTTTCAAATGGAATAGAACATTTAGAGTGAAATTTTTCTGACAATACTCTTCAATATCTCAATTGAAACTTGACAATCAAATTCCCTCTCAGTCTCAGATAAGCCAGATATTATGAGTGTATGATATAGGTAACTCATAGGTGATTGACAAATAGTAAATCGGGGAGGTGATTAATCTCATTTGTACAAACTTCTTGAACACAAAGCACAATTTTAACAACGAAGCATAAAATAAATATCCGAATCCAAACACCCTTTGAATATATATATATCTATCTATCCCATCCTGCTAGATGATTATCTATCATCTATTCCGAGAATGCGTTTCCGAATACAAAAAGACAACTATGACATATCGTACAAAGTAGATATACCCATCCATACCCATACCCATATATATCACCATTCAATCCACAATCATCTTCATCCCCATTCACATTCCCACATCCATCTCTTCTCGATCCCTCCATCCCCCCTCCCCTATCCCCTCCACTCTCTCACCTTGCAGATACAACACCCTTTCAAAAACTCTAAACCAAATCGCTCGTATTCTCATCTCATCTCATCTCATCTCATCATCTCATCCCACCCCATCTCATCCCACCCCATCTCATCCCCACCCATCCCATCCCACCACAATAAATCCCACCCATTCAGAATTCTATTTTTCGCTCCCCTCCCTCCTTCATCATAACTCACTCACTCACTGCTAGATTAACACTTTTCATTTCTTTCACTGTGTATATATATCATATTACATGAATTTCCATTCAACCCTCCAGCTGAATGGATATATTCAAATGCCGAAGTTGAAGCTGAACCTCTTTCGGTCTCAATTTCGATCCGAGATGAGTAGCCAGTCTTATAAATTTAAATTTAACACTTAAGTCAAAGACGGATGCTTAAACTGTGTAACCTTAGGACTTTAGACGAAAACTTTTGGGACAAACTTCTCATTTAATTATTCGCAATAGTTCAGATAAACATGACTGAATATCCACATTGTGATCAGAGATTCAACACTTGCATTCTCCTGATCAACCTCTCATCCTCAAGTGAAAAGCCACTGGGGAAACAAACCATTTCTTTTCAAAAGTATCTTGCGATCACATCGTTTACAATCCATAGCCGATCAGCTTCAAAGCTTTATTATTGTGTCATCCCTTCGTTGACTATATCCAAAGTTGACAGGAATCTCAATTCCATAGCAATCTGCAAACATGCTAATGATTCCTAATTCTTTTTCAAAAGAAGCTCCAACCAAAAATTATAATTTTCGAACAGCCAACCAATCGCCTTGAAGAATATCAACCTAATGTCTTCCATTTCCAAAACTCCCCTGTGATAAAGAAAAGCTGGATATGATTTTCCCACCCCATCCCGTGTTGCTCAAGAGCTCAGTAGATCCTTAACACTCATTCCTCGAACCCCACTAAAGCTCGTACCTCTACGATCTGAATTAAGCATCAATAACGCCGCACTTGCTTCCTCATCTATATCCCTTTGATCTCTTTGCGGTATGAGAGCAGGACTCGTGAGTGCAGATCCTACCGACGCAATACTTCGAGCATAATCATAGACTGAAGCGCCTAAAGCGGGAGATGTGGTTGATGAGGTACTGAGACTATAATGACGAGAATCCGTTGAGTACGAGGAATATGAATCCTGTCTTTGACGAGAATCTTGTGGGAGCATGGCGGGCGATGTTTGTTGGGATGGGGGTGTAGGTGTGGTGTAATTGGTAGATGGATTTTCGGAACCAGCCATTTCAATATCTTCTTCTGATTCACGTGTGGAATATTCATGTCGCGATGGATCATAGCTCCCACGATGTGCTGATGGCGGCAACGTAAATTCTCCAGTGCTTGCAGAGAAGTTGCCCCGAGCATTCTCGGCCTTCAGCTTGGAAACACAATCTTCGAGATATCTCACATAATCGATAGACGCCTTTCAGATATTAGCATGTGAAAATTGATAGGATATCTATTTTATGACTCACTTGTAGAATTGCTAACTTGTGCATTTCTCCTGTGCAAGCTGGTATCATGTCTTTCAATACACCAAATTCCTCATTCATTTTAGACCTCCTCCTCCGCTCAATCAAGCTATGTGCAGTTTTCCTCGCAATCTTTCGTCCAGCCACACTCGTTGAGGAGGGTTGCTTCTTCTTGGGCGTATTTGAGGTAGGTTTCCCACCGGACTTCGTATTCTCTGCGGGTGTATTCATTATCTCATCACTTTGCCCTCGAGGTTTCATTTGTATAATCTTTCGGGATCGTGTAGGCGGAGGCGGTAGTGCGAAGGAATCTTTCGCAGTGGTTTGTGCAACCGTTCTTCGACGAAGCTTGACAGCTTCACTTGCGGGAATGGCTGGAGAGATTGGGGAAGCGGGTTGATATGAGGAGGCAGATGATGCTTGGGTAGAGGAACTGGTTGGTCGAATTTCCACTCCTGCTACAGCAGGAGGAGGAAGTTCAAATGACATCTGTAGCGAAGAATAATTCGAACCATCTTTTCCCTTGATTTCTGTTGATGAAGCTGGGGTGGGAGGATGAGTTGGGCGAGGCATTATAAAATGAGGTATTTAGGTAACTTGACTTGGTCTTGTGCTCAATATAGAAGGTCCTACCGCGTATTACGACAAAATTGACCCTCTTGACTCAAATTGAGGTAAATAATTTCAAGATATGGATAAGAAATGACTGAAATATGGCAAAATGTCAACTTTTGAGAAAGAGGCGCTTTGTAAAGAGCTTGAGGGTGGTCAAATGTTAGGAAACATAAGATAATCTCATTCAACTTTGGAGAATTCAAGAGAATTGGAGAATAATGAACGAAGGAGAGAAGAACCAAAAGGATTTGATCTTGCTGTAACACGACCTACATTATATCTTCGAATGATTTCAAAGACTAGCACTTCCGGCAGCTAGAAATGATATCGGAAACAATCTCATATCTTTGCGCAACTTTATCGAAGATCAATTGCGAGTTTCACGCCCCTCAAGGACGATATAAATGTCGCGTGCTTCATTCGATTGGTTATGAGGCTTTTATTGATGTTGCTCAGATTATGCTGACCACTGATATTGCGAGTTGACAAAACGTGGTGGGTTTGGTGAGATGAGTAAAAAGACTCAAGGTTAAGATTTAGGTAAATTGGCACGTGCTTGATAACGATTGCTGGTTTGTGCGTAAAGCTGGAGTAGAGTAACCTAAGCTCACCGGGAGTGAAAAAACCTAAAATATGAGATTACGCAAGATCATGCATGCAATACTGGGTTTAATGCCATAGAGACCACACACATATTGACAGAAACCACAATCTCTGCGATTCCCAAACCCATCAAATTCCGCTCCATTGTCCAGAGTTTGATTCTGTACAGAATAGTGGTTACGGCAATTTCATCTACTGGCACGCGTTAAATTTTCACGAGCTTGGAATTGTTGTCCGGCATTGATTGTACTACCCTACAGTCTGATCAAAACGACTCTGCAGCAATTCTAGCAGCTCTTCGTTTACGCTTCAGGAGTGTTCTTCTTGAACGACAGAATCTAATCTCTCCGAGAACTTAGACATTCATTGAGTCGTTGGAGTCCCTCTGATAATACGGAACCTTCTACAGCATAGCATATGCGAAACCAGCCTGGCTCTGTATAGTGGTAGCTTGTCCCTGCACTGAGCGAGAGACCAACTACTTTTAATCTTTTTTGGAATTCGTTCTCTGTTTGAGCATCGGCATTTGGACAAAGCTGCGCGAATACAAACATGCCTGCTGTGGCAGGAATGAATGCGATCCCGTTAGCCAAAAGAAAGTTCTTCACCCTCAAATATGCTTTTTCCAAGATTGCACCGTTATGAACCACCACAAAGTCTACGTTTTCCGGTCGCAAAATGCTTCTAGTTGCGAAGAGACTAGCGGCAGAAGAAACCTGGCCGTGAACTGTGAGAGCAGCACCAAGACGAACAGCCACATTGTTTTGACTAATAATTGCACCCTATGTCTCCATATTTGGGATTAGTGGTATGCTTTGGGGGATCAACAAGGAGATAATAAACTCACGAGACGTATTCCACTGCAGCCAAAGTCCTTGCTAAGACTATAGAGAACGTGGACAGAACTTTCATTGTAGTCTATTGACAAATCCGAGATAAAGTCCTTTTTCTTCTGGAGTAATGCATGGTTATTATGGACTGATAGCCCATACACTTCATCGGAGATGTAATGCAAGCCACGGCGATCACACATGGCTAGCAATGCTTGCAATACTTCCTTGGGATAACAACATCCCAATGGGTTATGCGGGTTACAGATAAGCATGGCTTTGACGGGAACTAAACTTTCATCCATGGCTTGCTCATAGAATTCAATGCTCTCGACTGTGAACAATTTCTCCAGAGGAATATGCACAGGTAGGACAACAGCATCTTTGTGTACAGATATAGCAAGATCAAGCCCGGACCAATATGGTGTGGAAATCATTACTGCATCCCCTGGATCGCATAATTGTTCTATCAGGGCACTCAGTGCGCCGCTGGCTCCTGGGGCAAGTACAATTTGGGAATCTTGTACTGAGCTCCTAGGGTTAAATACCCCAGTTGTGTTGATAAGCCCAGCAATAGCTTTTCGAGCTTCTAAATTGCCTCCTATACCTTGATCGTATGAAAGGTCCTATCTATTCAGCATCATAGCATGTACAACTCAATTCGAAGTGGTTATGTGAATGGCACTTACACATCCTCTGATCCCCTGTTCTGATTTCTCGCAATTCAAAATACGATCTCTGATCAGATAATTTTCTGTAGTCCCAAGATCGATCAAAAAAGGATCATTTTTCATATGCCGATCTAACAAATGCGGAATCAGGGCTTGGTTTCTTGTCTGACACCTTTGAGATGGTAACATGATGGTGTGCAAAATGACAGATTCAAGTGTTGAATTTTTTTGGGGGGGGAGGGGGGGGGTTGAATCCATTGATGAAAGTTCTAATTCGGACGAGTAAGCGTGTTTGTTTCGGCTAATATATGGCATTCAGTCGCCGATGAGGAAATAGCCAGAACAATCAGTGCCAGGCTAGCTAAGATAATCCAAAGTACTATTTCCGGTATCTACTTCGCTGAGTCAAGATAAGCGTCTTCCGACCTCGACCATCTCTCGCATTGACAATCACCCGCAATTTGCAGTACCAGCCTCTGCAAACATCGAGGAAGCTGTATGAACTGCGTTTACTTTACATTTGTTCATTGTCGATGGCACTCCCGTTATACAAGTCTGTTCGCAGGCTACTTTCGGAATATGTTGCAAGATTACTAGTAAGTAGATCTTGAAGTACAATATGATTGAATAGATTGTTGATTGCATTGCAGGATCAGCAAGCCTACCAGGCTAAAGCGAAGAACCTCGTCGACTCAAGCAAAGAGAGCTCGTCTATTGAATATGAGGATACGAGCCCTTCACTTTGGGATGACGACATCGGCGCTATGCTTTCCTCAATGCTACAAATGGCAGGGTACACCCCCCGTATGAATACCTGCCATCGCGAAGTTTTTGCAAGTTATATAGCGCCATCGCTCGGAGTGCACCCCAAGTTACTAGGCTCAAGCGAAGGCTGGAGGAGCTTCATGACAGATGACTTCACTCCGGTCGAGTTGAGCTGGCGTTGGTCGCCCTCTTCAGAATTACCTTCTGTTCGTTATTCAATAGAGCCTATTGGTTTATGTGCTGGGTCAACCCGCGATCCTTTGAACACTCAAGCAAGTGTTGACCTCATCGCCGAGTTAGAGAAGCGCAGCTCAAATCTATCGCTTGATTGGCATCGTCATTTCAGCAAAACTCTTCTTGTATCGGGACAGGAGTCCAAGCCTTGGGAAATCGGGACTTCCGAAGTTCCTCACAGTCACCTATCTCAAATATTCCTTGCATTCGATTTAGATGAGAGCTCGCAGTTGAAAACTTATTACCTACCCATGTGGAGAGCTGCATCATTACAGAAAAGTACTTTGATGGTGGTTGGGGAATCCATCAAAAGTCTCGCAATCTCATCACCCAATCTTGGTATTGCTTTTGATCTTATTGCGCAATATATTGACTCGTGTGCTGTTGGCAAGAAACCTCGGATCGAAATAGTGAGCACGAATTGCACTACTTCATCTGATCCCTCCATCAAAATATACTTGAGGTCACATGAGACATCTTTAAACAGTGTCATTGATACTATGAATTTGGGAGAACGGCTTGTAAACTTAGACTCTTCTTTCTTATCTTCCCTGCAAGAGCTATGGTGTCTTGTGTTAGGGATCTCTCCCTCAGACGTATCCTCTTCCCTTCCGGAAAGGACTCATGAGACTTCGGGTATACTATACTATTTCGAAATCAAATCCAGCTCTGCGTTTCCAACTCCTAAAGTCTACATTCCTGCGAAACATTACGGTAAAAGCGACCACGAGGTTGCTAAGGGTCTATCTACATTCCTGGAGCGGAGGGGCAAGAGACTGGCGAATGAGTCCTATTTCGAGGGTGTGGCAAGTCTGTGGTAAAGTGATCTCAGTTATTGTTTAAATTTTGGTCTCGCTAACTTTCTCAAATAGTTCTCATCGTTCACTGTCAGATGGATTGGGAATACATACTTACATAAGTTGCGCACCTAAAGGGCCTGATTGCACTATTACATCATATATCAACCCCGAGATTTATCATACCTCGCGGAGCTTACGAAAAGAGAATTAAGTGAAGATCGCAGATCGGATTAAACATATCATTTCGTAAACTATCACGAGTAATTTTACATATCACATGCCATTATTTGTGGTCCATTCTAACTGATGAGGGCCTTCGGCCTTTATTTTTCGACGACCGCCGAAGTAATGTGAGATTAAGATACATTAAATTCGAATTGGCAGAAAAAAACTGTTTGCCCAATACATGCCTTCCAACAACGCCTGTAATTTTAATTGTTCACAATGGGCTTCATTTTGATTTGCATCTTCATATTGGTTTTGATACTGGGGTTCACCACTAAATGGCGTTACTCAGTTTCAACATTTTTCGGGGTGAGTTTTGCCCCCTTAATTAGCCAACAGACTGTTGATAACCCAGGCTATTCTCGCCATAGTATACAAGATAGTAGATTCTCAAGGTCAGAAGATACCTGGGCCATCATGGGAATGGCCGCATGGCCAATTTGTGGATAAATTCATTGATGGAAAATCCAAAAGCTCACTTTGGTATGGGTATGGGCCTGTGTATCGAATATGGTGTCGTACCATACCGGAAGTGTATGAAAAGTCTCATTCCTTGATAGCTTATCTGACTGGGTCTTAGTGTCTTGACGAGCTCAATAGACATGAAAGAGTTTTATTCCGATGCACGCGTACACGAGAAGTCTCGTTCCAGCAATGGGGGCTGGTATTTTCATCAGATCTTAGGAGATTGCCTAGGTCTCATCAACGGCTCGAGACATAGAAGACTCAGGAACATTTTTGAGTCCCACTTCACTCGCCGAGCAGTTGCTCATCGATACTCTGATATGAATGACTACTCCCTATCTTTCCTTCAATCAATATCTCCAACCGAAGGCAACGAAAGCTCTGTCCTTCATGCATCTAGTGCATTTATGAAATATCCCCTATTGTGTACGGCCGAAATCATCTACGGTCCCATGGAAGGAGGCGAAAAAAACGAACTCTGCGAGATTGGACCTGGGAGATTGAACTTGATGCGATATGTCTTGAGCTATACGTCATTCTGCACTGGTATAACAGCGATATATGAGCTTTCAAATTTCAAACGCCGATGGAAAGATTTCAATGCTAAAATGGCAGGCACGCGAGGGATCTCATCTCCTTCAACGCCTATAGTCACCGCGTGGCGATCTATTGAGCGGAAGGAAGTCACAGAAAATGAAGTCACACTTCTCACCCAGAGTTTTAACAAATTAATGGTTGACTGACTGAGCCTCTAGGTTCTTCAAACACTAGATGAGATGCTCTTCACTAATTTGGACGTCACGACCAATGCGTTAACATGGCTAATAATTCTTCTCGGCGAGATTACTGAATGTCAATCTAAACTACGAAATGAAATCCATGACTCGATTGATATTGAGGCCTATTGCAATCGACGAGACACATTTTTGCATTTTTGTTTTCTGGAAACTCTACGCGTTCGTCCCATAGCAGGTAAGATTCTATGTGCATCAAGAAATAAACTTACAGATAGATAACTATATAATTCTAGCCTTCACAATGCCTGAATCATCGCCAATGGACAAGGTTTTGGGCGGATTTCTGGTCCGACCGGGCGTAAGAAGCTGCGATCAAAAGTTTTGATGCAATTGGCTGATTGTGCTCTTTATAGACCTCAGTCACCATCGACACCCTACAGATAAATAATGGCAAAGAATTTTGGGGTTCCGATAGCGCAGATTTTCGACCAGAGCGATTTGCAGATATCGATCGAAGCGCTGTGAGTAGCCTTCCTGATGGTCTTGTCATTTGAGGTGCCATGATTTGTTAATTCGGGCGATGTAGTTAAAATACAATTTTTTCACATGGGGATTTGGAAATCGTGATTGCCTTGGGCAGCATTTGGCTGAACTTTCAATCAAAATCATGGTTGCCAATCTTGTCAAGGGATATGAAGTCACGATTTGCGAAGCACAAAAGTCAGATGGAGAATTCAGATTAGCGAAGAATAGTTGGGTTCCACTTTCTGATGTGCATATTCGGATATCTAAGTTATGATAAGACAAATTCACATTTAAAATATTCTGCTATCTCAATGATTGAGCCATCAACGACCAAAAGTTGTCACCAGTTCGAAGGAGGCAATGATCTGTGGGAGACCGAGAAGTTTCCGGCTCCATGCTTGCAGTGAGGGATATTCACTGAAGTCAATGCCTGCCGATGCCGCAATATTTTCATTTGCAAACGGTAGGATCGCAATGTCAGCGATAGTAAGGCGGTCGGAAAGAGCGATGTAGTTCTGCTCAGTAATTTGAAGCCGATTTTCGAGAATGGAGTATTCTTTTTTGATAGCATCAGCGAAAATTTCAATCGCTTCCCGCATAGAATCTCCGTGTTTTCGCTTCAACACCAGCCACCAATTTCCTGTTGCGCTGCAATCATCAGTAAACGCCTACGTAAATTTGCTAGTAGTATCTAGAACATACCCCAGACCAGCAGTGTACGACATTAACCAGCTAGAGACCTGTGTTCGTTCAACCAGATTTCTCCCCCCCATAGAGCCCATCATGATCATATTTATCTACTAAGAAGGCAAGACATGAGCAACTCTCAAAGACATTCAAAAGCTTTGGTTTTTTTTCTGGCTGCTCAACGAGATCTTCACTTTCAATGGCTGGAACCATTCTGTAGGGATTGATTTCCCAAAACCATTCATCGTCGCTTGGAGATAGTACCACTTTTACCACATGTGGAATGCTAAGGAGCTCCATCAGGATCAAAATTTTGACAACATGCGCGCCAGAAGTCGGAGTTGCTTCACATTCCGTATCAGATTAGAACACTAGGACTTGGGTAATAACATACCCGGAACGACATAGAGGGTAACTTTTCCCGGGGAGATGCTTGACTTAACATGCGTGGGTGTCTCTTCCTCCGCCATTCTATTGATTTTTATTCGAAGAGGTGCTCTGTGAAATTCAAGCTTATGTTGAAGCTTTGATAGGTGGGTGAAATCACTGGGCATTTAAATTGAAACCTTTTACATCGGCATGTATTTCATCAAAAATAGTCCGTAGTGCCAATCTGAGCCCGAAAGTTCGGTCATATATGCGTGTAATATGTGGAAACTCGGTCTATATTATAGCGCGTCATGCGGAAATTTTTGCTCAGAACTATTTCTTTCATCTAATATACTATTATTGAATATTGAACAGTTGATAATGTCGCCCAATATTCATACATAAGAACATCGTCACAACAATTAAAACCCCCAGAGAAAAGTTCTTACTGCGATTTGATAACTCATTCAACCCCTTTCAACACCGGCTGATACTTATTTTAGACTTACATTCCACCTCTAGTGCGAGATGGATACTGGTCCATAGATATATCAGATGTGCGATCATTGCTTCTCGCGCTTTCACTGCTCACGGCAATGTGGCTAGTAATGGCAATATGACTATCGCTTTTGAGATTCATGGAATGTTTTCCCGAAGACGAATTATTTGAAGCTTTTCCAAAATAACCCTCCTGACTGGGATGAGGATCGCTCCCCAGCGTTTGGCTCTGGGATTTGAACAATAGCGAACTAAGTAGACGCTTCGTATAGGAACCGAAAGGCGAAGAGACGGCCTTGGTGTACACCGCAGGAAGTGATGGCAGGCATACACATATGATGCCAGTCGCGACCTCGAGCATCTCGAAAAGGAAGCTCATCCATGACGACAGTGTGAAATCGGCATGGTTAATCTTGACGAGTCCCACAATGCAACTTATGCGCAGAATAGAGCATACCGTCGCGCTATAATACGTTAGCATGCTTTCACATATTTTTTGAAGGAATACAAACAATAGACCCAAGGCGAAAATGAAGCTTATCTGTAGCTTGCGTGCTTTTGCCATTCTCAACTGCCATATCACAGGCATTGGAAGACTTAAAATTATCAAATCAATGATGATATGAGCTATTCCAGTCGAACCGCAAGCTTTGTTTTGGTCGACGCACTTCCCAGCAAGCATCGGGTTCCACAGCTTGTCAAGTGGAACACAGTCACCCATGGTGCCTCCGAAGAAAGCTATCCACCATGCCACGCATATTCCCATCACGATATGACAACATATATTATGCCATCTCGAGACTTTGAATAAGCGAAGGTAAAAACTCAGGATCGAGAGTTGAAGTAAAGTTACTGCTGTTCCGTAAATTGCACCACTGGTTATCAGAACCTGTGGGAATATAGGGTCAGCGGGTATTCAATGGAACATCTCGTCAGTGTAGAAAAACATGCCTTTAGGTAAATCACCATATTTGACGGCTGTAAGTACTGCGCAGAGACGCCTAAACCACCATAAGCTACACCAATGCATAGAGCAATGTGGAGCCCATATGCAAACGGCTATATCTATCAGTAAAGTTCATAACTATTTTCAAGAAGCGTACCAAAGATGCTAACGCCAACCAATCATCTAATCCATACTTGACTCTAGACAATGTACGTGAATAGAAACGCAAGGCAACCGCTATTGTGGTAAAGGTGAGAGCGATAGTTGGAACAATAATTAGAACAAGTTGAGGAGCTGTGTTAATGTCGACAGAAGGCGCCATGATGCTAGATTCGTCAATACCGGAAAATCTGAGCGTTCAGCACCAGAATCTCGAATCGTGTGACTATTAAACATGTTAGACCTCTCCTTTACAATCCTCCGGCGTTCTATTCAAGAATCCTACGCCGAATCGGTGAATATCGTGTCAGCTTCAACAAATTTATCACTGCCTAAGGCAGGGGAAACGGCTTCGGCCAACAAAATTATGTCATGTCATCTGCGGCATATTGTTCGTCAAATTTGGCAATGCACCAATCAGCCTAGTACCTCTTGAATGTTGAATTCCTTCGAATTCAAATGAAATTTCACGCTACTCTTCCTATTTGAAACATCTTGAAGTTATTTTCAACAACTTGTTTGAGACCAATTCTGGCAAGATGAGTTCCTCAGTTGCAGCTGATCAAGCTGATCCCCAGCGCATCGCTCTCTACAAGGGAATGGAAGTTAGACAGGAGAATGAGTACGAGCGTTTGCGCAAGCAGCATGAGCTTCATATGACAGCAATGAACAGAGTTCTCATTAGAGTACCTCTTCCAAAAACAAAGCCAATTCGTATCCTCGATTCCGCAACCGGCGATGGTCTTTGGATGGTCGATGCCTTGAAGCAGTTTCCGGAGGCTTCTTTTGTGGGAACCGATATTTTCCAGAAGCATTTTGAGCAAATCCAAGACTTGCCAAGTGCGATCACATTCAAGGTCCAATCAGTGATGGACGAATGGCCTGTGGAAGACCAAAATGCCTATGATCTTGTCCATCAGCGTTACTGTCTCGCCATGTTCAGCCCGGAAAAAGAAGCGGCCATAGTGAAACGGCTTTTTGGTTTAGTCAAATCGGGTGGTTTTATCCAATTGGTAGATGCAGATCTTGTATCTTACGATGGCGGAGAGGAACATCCTGGTATGACAAGAATGATGAACTACATGCAGCGAGGATTCACCGAAGCTGGTATGAATCCTTCTCCAGGGCCATCTATTGCGGGCTGGCTACGTGATTCGGGCGCCGTCAATATACAAGAGAGAGTCTTATCTTTCCCAATGGGGTGCCAAGCCGCCACGCTTGAAGATCAGATAAGCACGACGAATAATCTTACCAACATGATTGATAACTTTGCCATGATTGGATCAAGTAAGATAAACAATTCCGGCATAGGTGATTCTCAATGCTGACATCTTACAGAAACCCCAAACTATTGGTACACACCTAAAGAGTTTGAGTCCCTCAAAGAGGCTGTAGTTAAGGAGATGACGGAGATTGGCAATACCTGGAGGTTCTGGGTGGTGACAGGTCAGAAACCAATCTAAAGTAACCGAAGCTTTAAAAACAATGTTGCCCGCGCGCTAGTGTAATCGAGATGCATCATGCACGTCAGATAGTACAACATAAATCAGTCATGATTTTTGAAGTATTCTTTTATACGGTTCTACTCCTCGACAGGCATGCGGCTCCATCGTTGACTTCTGGCACATTTCTCTGGACATACTAAAATATGGCTTGATGTCTTCAAGGAATTATGCGAGATTATTCAAACTGAAAAAATAGATCCTCGACTACTATACCAATAATTTTGAAACCATATTTTTTTGCGAACTTGACACCTAAAGTATCCGGCTTTCTTGTTGGTCATATCGTCTATTGGTGGAATCTTGATGATATTATCCACAGTACGAGAGGTGCTCCCGTATATTACTCGCTCAGGTCATCCATTTTCAACATGAATAATAGCCGATGAGCTTACTATTGCCTATCTTTGTCAAATCAGGTTATGATAACTATCCCTGCAAGGATTATGAGGGTGGCAATTGCGACAGTAGTATTCTGTAGCGTGGGAGTCACAAGTAGTCGTGACTGGATAACCTTTCTGAATTTTTACGTTAGGCAATACCCGTATCTCATTCCCCGCATTGCGCTCGGCAAATGCTACGGGGTTGATTCTTCAAAACGTTACTATGACCGATCGTGTAATTCTACTTCTGCCTCTGCTGCAACATCAAAATTTCGTATCAAAGCAGCCCTGCGGCGTGAAAATTAGTTCTAGTGCCGTAGTACTGTGATGGCATGGCATTAAGATATGAGATTTAGTAATTAATTAATACTGTGTGATGTTCTCTCTTCTCACGTTTCAATCATCATTCTGCACAACCTCACAACCGATCATCGCTTTAAACTCGCCTGGAGATGCCGGAACAACCACAGCCACAGCCAGAAATGACTGAACAGAGCGCTAAGAGATATAGAGCCGCTTGCGACAGATGCCATAGTGCCAAAATTCGATGCTCGGGTGGAAATCCTTGTATAAAGTGCCAAAAAGAGTGAGTATACTTGATCTCACCCTGTCAATGAATTGAGATTCGAGAGAATAACAAATCTTTAATAGTAAGTCGGTTACCCTACTTTCGGGCCACCCCTGTTTTGGGCCACTCTTTCACACCAAAAATCACTTTTTAGGCCTATTAATATCTCTATCAATATTCAATATAATTCCATGAAAATTTATATATATATATAATTTAGATCGATTTAAGTTTATTCTGAAATTTTTAGATTTTTAGGATTTTTCTATATTGAGATCTAGAATTTCAAAATATCGATTTTCAAATTTATATAGGAATCCCATATAAATTTAAAAATCGATGTTTTGAAACTCTAATTCTTAATACAGAAAAATCCTAAAAATCTAAAAATTTCAGAATAAGCTTAAATCGATCTAAATTATAGATATACAAATTTTTATTAAATTCTATCCATAAATAAGAAAGTTATAAATTCCATTTTTGGTGTATTTTTGGTATAAAAAGTGGCCCAAAAGGGGGGTGGCCCGAAAGTGGGGTACCCGACTTAGTGTTTCCTGCCGCTTCAGCGTGCGTGCCAATCTAGGTAAACCAAAAGGTAGTTTGAATGCGAAAACAATAGAAAAGTTGAGAAGGCTTGTCGATGGATCTACGACAGAGACCGAGGAAGTTCAGCACGCAAGAAGTATTCTTGCTTTGAGCAGAAATGGGCGTTTAAGAAGCGAACGCTCATGCAGTATCGGCTCTACAATTGTCTTAGCTCAGTCTCCCGAGTCCAATGGGTCTGAGACATTGAACGAAATCACGGAAACAGCAGAGAAATCCCCAGATCCGTGCAATTCTAGAAGCTTCGAAGATCAATCCCAACGGGCGCTCGACACGTCTTTGCATCAGCAGTACCCAATGCTTGACATGGACTTTTCAATCACGTCAGATATCAGCATGTCCGATATCATGGAACAGTCTGTATGGTTAATCTCGAAATTCTTAGACTTGTACACTGACCACTTTGTAGCTTGATGATTTCTTGGATCCCTCTCTGAGACATCTGCTATCCCCACCAGCTACACATTCACCAATTCACAATGGCATAAATTCCGATTCCTTGCCACTCGGGCATAAAAATAATCAAGATCGACTAGAAGCATTTAACTCCCTCGCAGCCGCGTGTATACGGGGCCCTTTAACACCCACTTCTTCGACACTTGTAAGCTTTGAGAACGCTGGAGGATCAATAAGTCTATCACAGAGAAATAATGATTATCCGATACATTCTTCAAGACCTCCAACGAAATCGTGCAGGTGTATGCAGAATCTCATAGATTGCATGGGTCAGCTTCGGGCTATAGAGCAACGAGAGTCGCCAGTGGGAATAGAGGCAAAACTTCACCATAGTCAAAATGTTCTCACAACTTCTTTGGCCACCCTACAATGTCTCTCATGTTCTTCCGATCCCCAAACTCTTCTTTTGTCCTCAATTATTATGACCACCATGGTTCACTGGGCGGATTCGCTGGTTTCTCAGCGAGAGTTTGCTCAATTCACGGTGAAGTACGGGGAGTATACTGCGTCGGACGAAAATTCCACAATAGTAAAGACAGTCTTAACGGCCGGTGTGTTGGCGAAAAATACCGCAATAATTGATAGTTTTCGAGAAAGAATGGAAAGTTTCAAAGGAGAGGGTCATCAAGCACAGTACATAAAATTGCAGCTAGATAGTCTGGCAAGCTTACTGAGCGAGGCGAGGATGAGATTCAATGCCTCGAATTTATAATTTACACCAGAGGACATATTGAAATTGCCTGACGATTCGTTTCTTACCATTGTTCTATAGGTTGAGATAATCTCACAAGCGGGCACTCTCTCGGTATAATAAATGTCGGTGAGTTTTTTTTTCGCCAGGAAAGCAATAATCACCGAAGGAGACAGGACAATAATCGCATTGGTGTTATGCTAAGTTTGCGATTCGATACTGGAAAGTACCTATAAATATGTTACACATAAAATGGTTTCGGCATTGCGATAAAGAATCAGAAAACAATCATGGACACTACATCCACGACTGGAAATGGCCCCCTCAATGAAAAGGATACCTACAAAGGTCCACGGCACACGGGAGAATACGAACGCCTTAGAATTCAGCATGAGCTAGTCAAAATCAACATGGGCAATAAACTTGTGCTCGCGCCTATTGATTTCTCCAATCCTCATCTTAGGGTCCTCGATTCAGCCACTGCCGATGGATATTGGTTGGCAGATTTGGCACAGTCACTATCCTCAACTTCAAGACTGATAGGGGCCGATATCTCTCCGCAGCATTTTCTTGGAGAAAAACCAGCTAACGTCGAGCTTGTTGTTCACAACATCTTCGATTCTTGGCCCGAAGACTATCAAAACTATTTCGATTTAGTGCATCAACGATTCGTACTACCAGTTTGCAATGATGAAAAGAGTGTTGATGCAATCGGTAAGCTCTTGGCCTGTGTCAAGGCTGGCGGATATATACAACTTCACGATGGAGATATGGAGACAATTCTCGAAGGCCCTGAGTACCAAGCCATGCAATCATTCCGCGATACGATGGCAAAAGCTTGGAGAATGATGGGGCACAATCTCAGTCCCGGTCCAAAACTTGTGGATTGGTTAAAGCAAGCCGGCGCTGCTGAAGCGCACGAAACTATCATTGTAAATAAATGTGGACCGCTTGAGGAGGATGAAGCACAAAGCGAGAGAGCTATTTCGGTACTTCTCGCTCTACTTGATGGTGCCCAAGTCCTTCTTGGTAGTGAGTTATTCTACTATTCTAGGTTCATTCTATTCCAGCGTAGACTAATATATCAAATAGCATTACCAGGCTTCCCATCAGCGCAGGAGCTCAGCCAATTAAGAGTAGACTTAGAGAAGGAGTTGAGAACAGTAGGCAATTGCTGGCGTACTCATGTTGTTGTTGCGCGAAAGGATCCCCAGACTGAAGTTCATGCATCATTGTAAGAATCGCGCATCAACTAGTGGAGATTTTAAACCAATTAATTGTTTCTGATATTCACATTTGGAACGAATGATAAAAGAAGTCGAACTCTCGGGGTTAAAGCCTAATTGACTGCCGTGCATGGCCGTGCTGGTTGTCTGTGATATTTTCGCGAGCTGTGCAAATTCTTTCGGTGCTTAAATTGTTTTTTTTTCTCGCATAGAATAGTGAAAAAACATTGTGTAAGTATAGGCGCCGAGTCGGATTTCAATACGAAACCAAGCTAACTGTAAGACTTTCCCATTGTGCCCAGAATTTTTCCTGTTATTCAACTCAATCCTTTCAAAGAATATCATTCGCCATGGCCTGTTTTAGTATCGAGAACCTCAACGAGGCACTTGATATCTTGGATTCCGTACCACTTATCGGTAAGAGCGGTCTCTTATTGCCACATTGAAAGAACCTAACGCATACTGGTATTTTTAGATGGCCATAACGATTGGCCTCATCTTATTCGAGCATATTATCAAAATTCTCTGGATGCAAGATTTGAGCCACTTAAAAATCTGGCAGGTCATGTAGATATTAAACGACTTATGCAGGGAAAATCAGGTGGCGCATTTTGGAGTGCTTTTATGCCCTGGTAAATTGTCCATTTTTTCCCTTGAGATGCTGTGTTCGCTAATAAGCTGATGCATTAATTAGTCCACGAACAGACGACGATACCGATGAAAGCAGCTCCTTCGAGGTTGTCAAAGACACATTACAGCAGATTGACTTGATCTATCGATTAGTTGAGCTTTACAAAGAGAAGTGGGAGATTGCTAATGAGGCAGATGATATTTTGAGAATATTTAAACAGCGCAAATTCGTCTGTCTCATCGGCGTGGAAGGTTTGCACCAAGTGGGAAATAGCAGCAGTGTCTTGCGTATGTATCATAAACTAGGAGTGAGATATGTAACCGTTGTTCATAGCCAAAACAACATGTTTGCAGACAGTGCAGTAGGATTGAATCTAGATCATTTGACAAGCACTTGCTAACGAAAGCGAAGACGGCGAAAGCGCCTGCCCATGGAGGATTATCTGAAGCAGGGAAAGCAATGATTCGAGAGATGAACCGGATAGGAATGTAAGTAAATTGCTCAACGCAAAAATCGAAAGAAACATTAAAACCAGGCTTTAGGCTAGTCGACTTATCACATGCGAGTAATGATACAGTATTAGACACGTTAAAGATTTCTACCGGACCCGTTGCCTTTACCCATTCTTCATGGTAAGCATCATAACTGAATTCAAATGTTGCGTAATATATTGGACGGTAACTGACAGTGATACAGTCAAGGAGTCGTGGCAAGCGGCCGAAACATTAGTGACGAGGCTTTAGATAGAACTAAAGTCAATGGAGGAATTGTCATGATCAGCTTCATTCCTCCTCTCAATAATGTCGAACCCGAAGCTGCTAGCATTTATGATGTCATCAAGAACATAATGTACGTTGCTGAGAAGATAGGATTTGAGCACATTGGTTTAGGATCAGACTATGATGGAATGTTTAAAGCCGTGAAAGGCTTGGAAGATGTTTCGAAATATCCACATCTTGTGGCTTCGATGCTGAATAGAGGTATTTCCAGAGAGAACGTGGAGAAAATCATCGGATATAATCTCATTCGCGTTTTGAAAGGGGTGGAAAAAGCAGCTTCATGCTATGGAAACAAAATAATCCCGCTGGAAGATGAGGTCAAACTACTGTGGGATAAAGAGCTTTGTGCTTTAGTTAAATCAGTATATCCAGAAGCAGAATCATAGCTTCAAGAGCATGTAACTGAAATGAATTTTACTTTGAGCACTGGAGACCATTATTAACGCCCATCGCCACGGCCCCATAAAACCCCGTGAATATAGTCGTGATGTGCCCACATGAGCGTAAGTAAACAGTCAAAGCCTATCAGAAACCACTCTGGTACATGGCCCGAATCGCTGCGGTATTTACGTACTCCTTTTTGAATGAAACGACTAACTGGATGCCACACTACACCGAACAGCCATCGACCAAAAAGCCACCTCTTTGTTTGTATAGGTGTAAAAGTTGGGTGCTGAAGAAGCATATCTTGGTAGTGTTGGGGAAGATGATGCTCACTTGCGCCATTAATCAACAAGGTCTATAGGTAAAGTCAACCCATGAACCAGAGATCAAGATCATAAGAAAGTAAAAGCCAATGATAGAATGGTTTTAGCTATACACCTTACCAGATATCGCGGAGAAGGAAGGGCTTGAGCCCCATACGCCACAGGCCGCCGAGGAGCTAAAGTATATACAGAAAGATTGGATCCATCGCTGAGAAGGCTTACATCAATCTGAATTGATCGATAGGCGATACCTCCACTTGCCATATTTAGTCAAGCGCGCATTAGGAATGGAAACATTTTACTTACCCCTCGCTCGCTATTAGTCGACTGAACTCTTTCTCAGTGAGCAAGTACGAAACGCCGTACACAGGCTCTTGGTCCACGTCAACTCGTTCACATATACCACCCATCGCTGGCTCCGTATATGGAATTCCAGACACATTGAAGCATAGAGAGTAGTTCTCCGAATAAGCAACCTCCACGCGGCGCGGGTTTAGATCGCCGCGTTTCATCATGACCGAAAGTGACATGTTGGATCCATAGGAAAAGTACCATTTGTCTGTACTTGACTCAAAGAGATCTACACCGGCCATTTTTAACGTGATAATTTCCGGTGCGAATGAATTTTTGTGCGTGTTTGTGATTTATGGCTGAATGGGGTTTTAGCCAAAAAAGTACTCGCCGATCGGTGTTCTATTTTGGCAACCCCTGGACATTGCGTGCGGCGTGAAAAAATCCCCATGTTCACTTGCATTCGTCTTGTAACTCTTGTTGTCAATCTAACAAAAAATCAAGCTCGATTTCTATCGGAAAGTCTAAACAGGAAGAATCAAGGATTTCTCTAGAGCATTCACATCAAAAAATGACACCTGATCAAAGTGAACAGAAAGACGCCACGGCAACTACATCGCAAAGACCAGTCACTGCTTCTCGTCACGATGATGAAACCAACCAACAGCATCAGCCGCATCAATACCCTGACCCACTAAGGTTGTCTGCTATTGTATTTTCACAATGCATGGCAGTGTTTCTCTGCGGTTTGGTACATATAACTTCCTACAACCTTTCAAGTCTCTCATCTGACTAGTCTAAATACAGGATCAAACCATTATTGCGACAGCCGTACCAAAAATATCCGATGATTTTCATGCACTTGGCGATGTCGGGTGGTGGACATCCGCCTACCTGCTTACCACTGCAACATTTCAACTCTTTTACGGGAAGATGTATAGTCTTGCACCAGTGAAATATGTATACCTCGGCGCTTTGTTAGTGTTCAATATTGGCTCGCTCATATGTGCAACGGCACCTAATTCTATTGCTCTCATTCTTGGGAGAGCTATCGCAGGAGTCGGCGCCGCTGGACTTATGTCAGGAGCAGTTTTGATTCTGGCACAATCTGCACCATTAGAAAAGCGAGCAGGTCTTCTCGGCCTTGTTACTGGGATGTTTGGGTTGGCCAGTGTCGCTGGACCCTTTATTGGTGGAGCGCTTGCTGATAAAAGTACCTGGCGATGGTGTTTCGCGATCAATCTTCCCCTCGGGGTTCTTACTATGGTTGCCGTGGCGTTTTTTGTGGCCAAGATTTCCAGTCCAAGTACAGCAGGCTTTTCTGCTAAAGAAAAATTGAAACGATTTAACCTTCCTGGGATGATCATGGTTCTTGCGTGCTTGGTATGCCTCATTCTAGCACTGCAACTGGGAGGCTCGAAGGACCCTTGGAACAGTGCTCGCGTTATTGCGCTCCTTGTTGTGTTTGGGGTTCTTTTCCTAGTTTTTCTCTGCATGGAGAGATGGCTGAAGGGATCCCAGACTGTATCAACCGCAATCGTTAAGAGTAGAAGTCTGTGGTTTGCAGGATTATTCGCTGCATGTTCATCTGCAGCAATGTTCGTCGCCGTTACATATCTCCCAATATACTTTCAAGCTATCCGGCACGCATCCGCGCTCAGATCAGGTGTGATGCTCACTCCACTTATTCTTGCCTTCATTGTTATGTCTGCTCTTGCGGGAGCTCTCACGAACATGATCGGCTATACAAACCCAGCGATGATCACAGGAGCTGTACTGACATCAATTGGTTCCGGCCTCCTCACCACATTTGATGTTAATACAAGTTCATCACAATGGATTGGATATCAAGTCCTCTTCGGGTTTGGCATAGGATGTAGCCTACAGCAACCTATGTTGGTCGTCCAGGCGGTGTTACCCGGTGAAGATGTCCCATTTGGTGTGGCCTTGATAAGTCTCTTTCAAATGGTTGGTGGTGCAATATTCGTGGCGGTATCGCAAAGTGTCTTCCAAAATGGGTTGGTGGATATACACACAGTGTTTCCGAATGTCGAGACGAGTACTCTACTGCAGACTGGTGCAACTAATATTCCGATGTTGTTTGATCAAAGCCAACTCCCACGTGTGTTAGAGATATATAGCAATGCTGTTGTTAACACATTCTATGTCGCCCTGGCATTAAGTTGTACATCTATCATCGGGGCTCTAGGAACAGAATGGAAATCGATGAAAGAAGCTCCCGCGGATGATGGATTGGGGAAGAACTCTGAATCATTGGAAAAGCCATCGGAATGAGTTGTAGAGAGCGAATTGCGATTAGTTCGAATGACAAATGAATCCTTTTATCCTTTCTCAGCTATTTATGTACTTATAATCATTAATGCCAATATCCCAATTGATGGATGTAATAAAACAGGAGTTTACGATGCAGAAAGTCTTTCGATAGTTTAACTGTGCTGTGCTGTCGTATATTTCCTGTCACGTGCCTGTGTAGTCGTTTTGGCTGCCGTAGAAATATGTCGGAGTAGCCGAGGTTCCTAAATTAGAGCGATAAGTCGGGTACCCCACTTTCGGGCCACCCCCCTTTTAGGCCACTTTTTATACCAAAAATGGAATTTATAACTTTTTTATTTATAAATAGAATTCAATAAAAATTTGTATATATATAATTTAGATCGATTTAAGCTTATTCTGAAATTTTCAGATTTTTAGGATTTTTCTGTATTGAAAACTAGAGCTTTAAAATATCGATTTTTAAATTTATATAAGAATCCTATACAAATTTAAATTTTTTATAAAATCTTTAATAACTTTTTAACAAAAATTGCTAAAAATAAATTATAAAATTTTATTATAAATTTATAATATATTTAATATAAGAAATTCAGAAAAAACGGAAAATTTCTTATAAATAAATATTTATAAAGGTATTCTTAAAATGATAGGGATTATTTATATTACTTTAAATCCATTATATATTATATTTTTATATCTATTAATTTTTTCGAATTTTTTTTTTAATTTCTATATAGATTCAAGCTTAAATATTTCAAAAATATATTTAGTTTTCTTTTAATGATTATTATTAAAAAATTATTAAAGGTTTTATAAAAATTCTAAATTTGTATATGATTTCTATATAAATTTGAAAATCGATATTTTGAAGTTTTAGTTTTCAATATAGAAAAATCCTAAAAATCTAAAAATTTCAGAATAGGCTTAAATCGATTTAAATATTATATATATACAAATTTTCATCGAATTATATTGAATATTAATAGAGATATCAATAGGCCTAAAAAGTGATTTTTAGTATGAAAGGGTGGCACAAAATAGGGGTGGCTTGAAAGTAGGGTAACCGATTTAGCTAGTCTTTGCAACTCCCGAGTCTACAGACATCCTTCACTATTAGCTTATTCTCCCTCGAACGTATAAGAATCCATAAAGATATTCAATAGCTATTCATTCCATACGCTATACAATATGTGTGTACCTATCAACTATGATTCAGGAAATTTCCCTTCCAACCAAAGATTCCAACGTCTCTAGCAAAATACCAGAAAGAGCAGTGATCTCTGCGGAAGTGACCATATCTATGGCATAACTTATCAAACACACCATTCCCATACTCTCTTCGAAGAACTCTATCATCAAAGGAAACTGTACTCCATCTGACTTTTTAATCACATTGGAAGCTTCGATCTCAGGTATGACAAGATTGCTTTCATGCGAATCTTCCTTCTTGTGAAATATGACCATGACATCGAATAAGTTCTCTGCATCCATTAGAGAGGCAAGTTCGCAGTAAGGCACAACATGAGCTAACGCAGATTTATAACTAGTATGGACAGAGTCAGCGAAGCTCCTAATATTATGAATGTTTGTGCTGCTGCAATCGATCTTAATTGGAACGCGATCTAGGAAGGTCCCCAAGATATTATGCGTCTCTGCTTCCATTCGATTGCTGTATGGGATACCGAGAACGACGTTATCTACACAAAACAGCTTTGAAATGGCAACTGCACATGCGGCGAGATAATTGCCGGATACGTTATGCGGCGAATGCCTCTCACTTATGTCCAGATACCGCGACGCCCCAGTGGCGATACCAGATGAAAATTGCCAACGTGGAAACAGCTGCGGGAGTGGTTGTAGAAATTCCTCCCAGAATTGTTTCGTTTGGCTATTTGATAGCATCGGAGGGCTTTGGGAGAACCAGCTGATCCAAGAGTTATACGATGGATCTGACTTGCCCAGATCTGATCGAGGCTGTCGGTATTTCATATCGATGTAATTCCGAGATATCTGGGTCAACATGATATTTATAGATCTTTTGTCTGCGATAATACGATGTGATACGATTATCAGAATGGTCTGATCGCATTCCTCCGCTACGACTGATCGAATGAGTTGATCGTTAGACAAGTCGAAAGGCGCATTGATTAAGTTTTCAATGGACAATTCATTGGCCGACTTCAAAATCTTGGTTGGGAGTATATCTTCGGAAACAAGTCGTTGTAAGTTGCCATTGATAGTTTGATAGCGAGTTCTCAACATGTAATTAGTGGAGATGAGAGTATTTACAGCTTTAGCGAGAAGCGTGAGGTCCAGATTTCCCCGCAGCGCAAGTTTGCACACTATGTTGAAGCTCGAAGAAGATGGTGAATTGGCCTGGAGGCTGTGTATCTCCTGTTCCAAATAAGAGACAGCTCTATGTGGAGCTAAAAGCTTCCCATTAAAGGCACGAAATGCGCGCCTCCGATCATGTGTGCAATACTGCTCAAGCGTCGCAGCCAGACTTGAGAGTGTCGTGTTACAGATCAGAAGCTGTAACGGTATATTGCAGGCCAATATATCCGACAGCTTCTGTAATGCTTTGATTTGCATTAAAGAATTGCCGCCAAGCATTGAAAAATCGTCATCTGTCCCAATCTCAACGAAATCGCTCAGATTGAGAATTTCTTTCCAAATCCTCTCGATCAACTTTTCCATTATAGTACTAGCCCTTTCTCCACTTAATTGGTGTCCATTCGATACAACCAGGTCCCGGAGAACTTTTCTGTTGATTTTTAGATTCGGACTAAGTGGTAAGCGGTCCATCGCAAATATTCTAGTAGGTAGAGAGTAATACGGTAGAATGTTTTGCAGCTCACGTTGTATGGAACCAACATCCACAGTCGCAGGAGTAGCAAATGCATAAATGCTATCATTCTGGACTACTGCTGCTGCATTTGTTACCGATCCGGAAACTGACATAATTGCTTGCTCAACCTCTTCAAGCTCGATACGGAATCCCCGAACTTTGACTTGATTGTCTTCTCTGCCCAAATACCGTACCTCTTTTGATTCTGTCCATACCCCAATGTCTCCGGTGCAGTACATCATCTGTCCAGGACAGAATGGATCGCGAACAAACCGAAGGCGAGTTTCCTCCTCATTGTCAAGGTATCCCTGCGAAACCGACAGTCCGCTGATACAAATCTTTCCTGGTAGCCCTATCGGTACTGGTCGTCTCTGAGCATCCAGTATATAGCAAGCAGTTCCTGGAACAGGTTTGCCGACTGTTGGCTCTTGATGTCTTCGAAGAGTAGCAATGAGAACGACGATCGTGCACTCACAAGGCCCATAACCATTGTACAATTTACGGCCATTTACAGCCCACCGATCTACAAGCCCTTGGGTAACTGCCTCTCCGGCAAGAAATATAGTATCAAGATTATTGAGTTCCTCACTTACAAGGCTGGAAAGCAATGATGGTGTTGCCATAACAGCATCAACTGTGGTGAGATGTGAGAATGGATGGGCCGGATTTTTCAAAACTAGGGTGGCGCCATAGCAGAGTGTGCCGAATATCTCAGCGATGCTGACATCGAATCCAACCGAAAGCATTTGAGCATTTCTTCTCCCAGGTTTAGAATGCAGCCTCGACTCCGGGGATGCAAGATAAGATAAAATCGGTCCATGGCTTGCTTTGATTCCCTTAGGATGGCCAGTCGAACCGGAGGTGAAGATCAAATAAGCAGCATCACTAGGCTTGTTTTTTGTTTTCAATCTTGTAGTATTAAGAAGTGGCTCTTTGATAACACTTCTCAAGAACAATGTGCGGGTTCCAGCGATTCGCAGGCTTTCGCCGTAGTCTTCGTAAGGGATTATATATATCATTGCCTTTGCCTGTCGAATAATTTTTTCTCTTCGCTTTGCCGGAAGCTTGGAGTCAACAGGTGCGTAAATACCGCCGGCTTTCATGATAGATAAGACGGTTACAATCCATGACAAAGACCCGTCACTCAAAGTTGCCACAACATCATTCGGTCTGACGAATTTAGCAGGATATGTTGCAACATGATTAGCCCTGTTTTCCAATTCCAGATAGGTGAGTGACCCATCATGCGACTCAAGTGCGGAGAATTCTGGCCATTGATCTACTGCCTGCTCGAATGAGTCTTTTAGGGTTTTCGTATCATCCAAATGAGGTCCGATCTGTGGTGGATACACCAAGCTATCAACTTCTGCTTGATTCATCATTTTGTCGCGGACTTGCAATAAAGTATCTGTCGACTGGTCGATAATGCCATGGATTATATTATGAAAATGCCGTTGCAACCGTTCTATCATTGCCGGTTCGTATTCTTTGGTGCTATACTGAAATCGTGTGAACATTTCACCTTGATCTTTTCCAACCGAGATGGTCAACCCAGATTCCATAAAGGATTTATACTGGAACTTCCATGTTCCAGAATTGATCGGACAGGGGATCTCAGGTAAATCGTATTCTATGGCTACAATCGGATTCAACAGCCAGGAGTTATCACCTGGAATAGATTCAAGATAATCTGCTGCAGACCATTGTTGGTCTATGATTTTCAGCAATCTTTCCTGCACATGATTAAGCAAATCCATCTTGTTCATTGAACCACCTAAATCCACGGGAAAGGGGCATGTATTGATGAGTGGACCGACTGTTTTGTGAATAAGAGGCACGGCTAAGCTGCGTCCTGATATAACGACTCCAAAATTCACCTTGTCGTCAGCCAAATAATTTCGAAGAAGTAACGATAAACACGCATAAATGATAACAGGAACTGACACTTTCAGTCTTCGAGAACTTGCTTCTAGGTTTACACAAGAGAGCCTGAGTTTCAGGACCTTATCGGGAAACGAAATCATTTTATCTTCCGGTCTAGTCATATCAGGATTTGGCCGTTTTAGACGGTAGGAAGGGGAGTGGCCATGGAAAATGGTTTTCCAAAAGTCCGCTGATCCTTGACGCGTTTTCTCAACGTATTGACTTCGCTCATGAACGAACTCGGAGAATTTTCCTGGGCAGGAGAGTGCCTTTCCATCGAGTACTGCTTTCAGATCTTCCATCAATATACTCATAGACCAGCCATCTATCTGGCTATGATGTACAAGCCACAACAAATTGAAACTTTGTTTGTGATCTCGAATAACTCGAAATGCATTGATAGGTCTAAAGGTCTGCCCGGTGCACGGAGTCTTAGGTAGAGACAACAGCTCATCCAATACGTTACGGACAGGAGATTCAATATCTTTGCTATGGCTCGAAATCTCGCTCCAGTCAATCTCGCTTACTTCAGAGGTCGCTTGTGTGCCTTTGAGAAGATTGAAGGTAGCTGAAAATATAAGGTGCCGCTTCATTATTATGTCCCATGCTCTCTTCAAGCGACCAGCTTCTAAGATTTCGCAGTCATCGCATGATATAGAAATAAGAAGATAATTAGCAAGTGGCTCGCGAAGACATGCTTTGATCATGCTTGATTGAACTACCGTCATTGGAAATTCAACTAATTGATGTGAAGAACTACCAATTTTGCTTTCATCTTGCCGTGTAATAATTTGACTGGTATCAGTGTCAATAGCTTGGGCCAACGAGGCCGTGAGGCGGAGGCTTTGTGAGGAGAATAAATCCACAACAGATAGAGTCAAGTTGTGTTTGTGTAAGTATGATAAAAGCTTCATTGCAGACAGAGAATTGCCTCCCAGGTCCCAGAAAGAACTTTTAGGACATATTTTACTCTCAGGAATACCAAGGGCCAGCGCGACTCCTGATATCAATATTTGCGTTGTTGTTCCTCTTTTGTTATCTATCTTTTGGGGTTCTGGGACATGTTGCAACTGGCTTCTTAGGTATGGTATATCTACTTTTCCATTATGTGATAGAGGGAGAGAATATAACGAGTGGATGACGTCAGGGACAAGGAACGCATCGTAATGTCGTGCTAACCAATTGCGCACCAGTAATGGCTCAATTTTAGGCGCAATAAAAGCCACCAATCGCCCTTCATGTAATAAGGCAATAGCTGCGGTAACACCTTCAAATGCCCGCAGTGCAGGTACCACTTCAGTCTCCAGATTTATCAGAAATCCTCGATTCTTGACCAGGCTATCTTGTCGTCCTAGAAAAACAATTCCATCTCCAGCATTTCGACGGCCAAAGTCGCCGGTACGGTATATTCTTGTTCCTTTCCAATTGATGAATTTTTGTTCTGTCATGTCCTCGTCCTTGAAGTAGCCAATCGCGAGTCCTGGGCCGCTGATGCAGATTTCACCCTCAGCGCTTTCATCGAGATTCTTATCGAGAAGCAGAATCATGCTTTCTTCCATGGGGCTTCCCAATAGTATTGGCTGATCCTGTAAGACCTCAAAGATGCTAGATGAGATTGTTGTCTCGGTTGGGCCATAGGCATTAAAGATCTTCCGATCTGGTCTCCACCATTTCTTTATTAGAGTATGATTAGGTGATTCTCCTCCTAGAAAGATAGACTTGATGTTGGTGAAATTTTCTGGATACTGGATTGTCGCTAAGACTGATGGTGTAATGGGCAGTATATCACATGTCTTCAGGTCGTCTATAAATCGAGTTTGACTAGAAAGTACCAGCTGACCACCATTGCATAGAGTGCTAAAGAGAACTCCAGTGCATGCTCCAACATGTTAGCGCTGCATGTATGGACTCAATTGATTGGTGGCACAACATACCGTCAAATCCAATTGAAAATAATAACACCACCTTATCCCCTGACTTTACGTTCATATTGAAAGGCTTGGACACACCACCTTGCTGCACATAGTTCAAGAGGCTTGCGTTAGAGATCACTACCCCTTTTGGCGCTCCTGTCGTCCCAGAGGTAAAAATGATGTACGCGGGGTCCTCGAGATTCTCATAACCCACGTGGTGAAACAATTGACTTACTCCGTTCCTTTGGCCTAGGACTGCTTCAATCTCACTCTTCAGAACCATATTATCATTCAGTATTGTCCCCGTCTCAGACTCTGTGCTTATCATTATATCCGCGTTGATAGTACTAAGAACTATACTAATCCTCTCAGAGCTCCAGGTGATGTCCATAGGAATGTAGCAAGCGCCGATTTTGGAGATCGCTAAAAGACACACCACCATTAGTGAGCACCTCGATGTAAGAATTGGCACCTTGTCTCTGGGTCGAACGCCTCTGTCGTAGAGAAGGGTCGCAATTCGTGTAGATCGCGTCTCCAGTTCATCATATGATAAAGTGTCGCCGTTATAAGATAGGGCAATACTGTCAGGATGAAGATTGGCATGTTGAGAGACCAGGTTGCAGAAGGACTTGCGGTCTCCATAACATCCGGGATCTACTTGCATGATCATTTGGTACAGTTTTCGAACAATGTTCGACAGCAGGGTACGTGAAGTTGAACGAGAAATAAATGAGGCGAGCTTCGTCTCTGGATGTACTGAATTGCAACTCCACGAGAAGGATCACTTTCAGTCTTACATGGATGATTTGTAATAGATGGGCACAATGAATCTGAATTCCATCATCCGATCATGATTTCTCCATGGCAAATGGAATCCCACCACCCAAATCGTTTCCGGCGTTCGTAGATGTTTCGGAGTTTCAATTCGAATTAAACGCCGAGAGGTACTAAACTAATTGACTGTCTGACAGTAATTTTGAATGTGGCTCATTTCATCTTCAGTAATTCATAGCAATCTTTCAAACCACTCAGTCTCTGTCGGCCATGATGCAAATTAATCCATGGCTCTCTTTTGTCATCTGTGTTGCCATCGTCGCCTTCATTGCGGTCCGGGTAGGAAATGGTCACCCCACATACCCCAATGTTCCAAAAATTACAAGGGGATTTCTGAAATCTTTGATTGACTGGGAACCGACTGCTTTTTTGCGACTTCAGGATTATGAAGCTGAGGGATACAAGAAGGTAAAGTTTCCGTATGGAAAAATGCCAGGCGAGCTGGAAGCTGACCCTTGCTAAAGTTCAATAAACATGGGCTTCCATTTGTTGTAAAACTGTTTGGAGTTGATGCTATGATTATGCCCCCGAAATATTTACCTTCACTGAAGAAATTCGATCGTCATGCTTTAAATTTCGCTCAGCATCTCAATGACGTAAGTGCTTTCTATGCTCTCGGAACGAAACATACGAGGAGCTAATTTTTGAAACTTAGAATATGCAGATGGAGGCTACTGTGGGCGATACTGCAATTGCCAATGATATGGAAATCGATTTAGTCGCAAGACATATGAATCTTAAAAGTGGTAAGTATCTTGGATGAGACTCCATGTTTGGTCAATCGTTGACTTCTCAGGCCCCATAATTGCGCTTCTGGCAGACGAAGCAGAATATAAGTTTAAGGATCAGTTAGGGGAATTGCATGGTTCGTGTTGACCTTATTGAATGTGTTCAAGAACGTCGACTTCTTGCTAACTTCTCAAGAGATTACCAAACTTTTAATACTTATAGTCTCTGTACAAATCTGGTGCACCACATCTCTAGCAGGGTACTTGTAGGAAAGGAATTCTGCAGAGATGCAGAATATAATAAGGTGTGCCAGAAATATACCATGACTGTATTTATCAGCGGTGTGCTGTGGAACTTTCTACCACTTGGTCCGTTCCGAAAGCCCTTTTACTGGCTAGCCTCTGTGAAGTTCCGCTGGGATCTTCGGAGAGCCACAGAGTATATCGTTCCTGCTATCCAGAAAAGAATGGAACAGCGTACAGCACAAGTGATGGATAAACCCATAGATGTCATACAATTTGCAGTGGATCAAACGATACCATCACACCGAGAAAATGACGCCAGACAACACGCAAAGCGCATTATTCATTTGAGTTTCGCTGGGACAGGGACATCTATAAGTCTGGTTTATAATCTCATCTGGAAGATTTTAATGTATCCTGAACATCTAGAACCTCTGCGGAACGAGATTGACCTGTCTCTTCAGCAACACGAAGGATGGAATGACAAGAAGATGCTGAGTTCCCTGAGACTTTTGGATAGTTTCATTAGGGAGACACTCAGACACAACCCTGCAGCCTGTTTCTCAGGACAACGCACGGCAATGGAAACACTTACGTTTCCGGATGGCTTTACCTTAAAGCCGTTTAGTCGGATAGCATTCCCGACCCTCTCCACTAACATGGATCCCGATAATTATAAAGATGCATCTACTTTCGACGGCTTCAGATTTGCTGGGCCGGAGTTCTCGTCACGGAGCAAAGGAAGGATTCATGCTTCTGCAGTAGACGAAAAGTTTCTTTCGTAAGTTTGTAACTTCCTTCGAAATCCGATACCATGTATGGATTAACATCTAACTCTTGGTTTCTAGGTGGGGATATGGAAAACAATCATGTCCAGGAAGGTTCTTCGCAGTTCGTCTTGTGAAGCTCGTTTTTGGTCGGCTGATCTACGAGTATGATATTGAATGGGCATCGGAAATTAGACAGTCGCCCAAAGGGATGGCAATTGAAGGTACATTTTTGGCAAACATGGATGCAAACATTAAAGTGCGAAGTCGTCGCGCAAAGTCATTGTGACCGTAAGAGCTGAGAATTTTAGAATACTGCGATCAATAGAAGGTTCAAATCGTTGTCTAAGATACCATGGCTAATTTGGGACCCCCCCCCCCCCCCCCCCAAGAAAATTGGGAACATAAGTTGGCGATTGGCGAGATCAAGCAAAATGGAATTCTAAAGGAAATATTATACCGGTGGTCTAAAGGTTTTTTTTGGGGAAGACACGCAGCATAAGTCCCCATTCCCTATAAGCTTCAGCTTAGCAATCTTTCTGCTTCCCACTTGAAGCTCAAGCCATCTCAACACAATTCTCGAACTCTCTGACACCCCATCTAAGCCCTTGTTCCAATTCCCACAAGAACTCCCCTCGCTCTCCAGACTCTATCAGTCGCTTTTTGATCCAAATTTCCAAAGATCCAAGTCTATCTGCTCCGCCATTTTCTCCCCTCCATTCAAAAAATGTCGCTGCGTCCTCCCACCCGACTTTCCACCCCTTTTCATACAAGTCATGCCGAAACTCCTTTCCAGGATCTTCATGCGTCCAATAATCTATATGGTCCTTCACCATCTTTTGCATAATCTCATCCTTCTGCATTTCTGCCTTCATCAATTTCTCTTTGACTTCTTCCACAGACCAGCTCATATAAGCCGGAGCAATTATATTCCCCTTCTTAACCTGTTCCACAAACCCCCAACCACCTCCATCCATCCACTCCATTTTCCATGTCCAGAAATAACTTCCCGCACTACACCCCTCCGTCCATTTGTTGCATTGGTGCCGTCCGAATTCCCGAGTTAATTCTTCCTTCATAGCAGGTGGAGATTTTGCCCAGCTTTTCTCGTCAAGAACGCAACTGTATTCGCCAATTACAATTTGTGTTTCCCCGCCAGATGAGAGATGCGTGGCGCTTGGGCTGCAATTAGGCAGTTCGCCAAGTTCAGTAGGGATTCGATGGATTAGCTCTTGGGCGCTTTGTGAGCGATGCTTTTCCGCGAACGTGTAGTATTTGTGTGTGTCAATGACGACGGGATTGCTGGGAACATTTCCAGATTTCCAGTCTCGTTCTTTGGTCCATTTCAATGCAGAAGAAAGATCCCATGCATCGCTTATGTAGATGGGCACTTCGGAGTCGATCTCGGAAATAGATTGAATGACGGAGGTGTAGAAATCATACATTCCCTTCTTTCCGGCATCCCAGCATGCTTCGTTACAGAGCTGAATACCGATTAGCCCATCCAACTCCTTACATTCTTTTGCGATGAACAAAAGCGCCCTTTTCGCAAGCTCAAGATTCTTCTTAGAACTCCAAAGTTCTGCTTTTCCTGTACTAGATCCCGAATGCATGTCTGTATTTGCGCCTCCAGGCAGAGCGTGGAGATCTACGAGGACCCCCACTCCAAGAGCACGAGCCCGAGTGATGAATTCTTTGACTATCGTCCAGGAATTTTGATAGACGTCTTTGGCACTCTCAAAGGGTGTTCCGACACAGAATTCTGGTCCGAGCGTGAAATACCCGACTGGTAATCGGATACTGGTTCCTTTTGCCGATTTGGCCAACCATCCGAAAGCTTGATCGGTAACTGCGTTTTTCCAATGTCCCTCCCATTTTTGCCGGGTAGCTTCCACACCATTACTCTTAACAGAAGAAGTTACAGCATCGAGCTCCGAAGATGCACCTCCCACAAATTTAGGGAAGAGCCATGGTTCGAGAACAAAAATTGAACCAAGATTGACACCAAAGTGATAACGATAACGGAGAATATCACGGACAGTGGGCTGAGAGATAGTCGATGGGCGAGATTGATGAATATTATTAACGGGGCGGGTAGAATCCGAAGGAGAAGTCTGAGAAGAGGATGAACCAGAGCGTATATGATCCTTGGCTCTTTGAACGAGTTTCTTCATCTTCAATCGAATTTTTTTTGCACGACTGCTAAGTTCGGTCATCTTCGCAAGCTGAAGAGACCATCATCTTTTATCGTCAAGAGCATATATACCTACATCATCGAAAAAGCAAGTTTTGTTGAGATCTACGAGACGATCGACATTGCTTTCATTAGGTATGCAAATTTGAGTCTTTTGCGGCAGTTGTGTCTGTTGGTGAAGTGGAAGCCAATCATTTCGATGATCTGAGACAGGGAGGCTCTACGTGGCCGAAAAAAACTGGCGGCATTTGACGGCTTTCAATGTCCCTGAATCATAAATCCATTTCAGATAAGGTGTTAAGGCCTGAAACAACCAAACAAAGATTCAGATATTCCATATTTCGAAAACAACATTTGGTTATCTTTATCATATGGCGAATCCACAAAATATAAATATAAATTCCTTCTAGAGGCTGGTCAATCCCGGCCTATCATTTCGGCTATGTGAAGCAGTCGGAAGTGGGGGTCCAAGCACAGCATCGCTTATGTAACATTAGTCTCTTCTGTCTCGTTTGTCCTAGTCTCATGAGGTCGCACAAAGTTCTCCCTTCTCAAACCTCTGGATACCCCAATGCACAAATACAAATTCGAGTGATGTTATTGACAAGATCTCCAGCATCAAGGACGCCGTCGTCTCTAAAATTAATGGTAATGCCTGAAGTCAGGTTTTCGAAAGCTAGTGCTTGCTTAGCACCTACATCACGTGTGAGGTACCGAAAACCACGAAGATTAACTCAGGGGTACATGGGTTAGAATGCAAGGTACACACGACTTCCTGGCTCCTTATGTTTAGCGATTTCAAGACTTATAGAATTGCCCAAACCTTTCCAAACTTTGTACCATAAAGTATGAATCGAATTGACACCAATACCACTGTCGTGATGGCTACATCTCTTGAAGAAAAATCAAATCAGGATCCAAAAACAGTGGCAGAAGTGACGGAAGTCACAACCAATCATGCTGATGGTGCACAGAAACGAATCTTGAAAATATCGACGAAGCTATTATCGAAGGAAGACCCAAAAAGTCACTTTCTTTTAAGCTTGCTTTTATAGGTCTTGCTGCCAGTATGTTTGTTTTCCAAATGGATGCAACGTCTCTTGGAATTGCCCTCCCAGTGAGCCCCTCTAGATTCCTCACCTCCATATACTGCAACTATCTCAAGCTTCTATCTTCCTGCAAAAGATTATAAGACTATGCTGATGCTCATTCTTCATTTAGACTGTAGCGGAAGAATTACATGGCGAAAGTTTGCAGAGCTTCTGGGCTAACATGTCCTATACTCTGTGTAGTCTCGTCATGCAACCACTTTGGGCCAGTATATCAGATGTCTTCGGCCGAAAGCCATCTTTCTATATATGCATGGCATTCTTTTTCATCGGCTCAATCGTTTTTGCGCTTGCAAAGGACATGAATACCATTATCGTCGGTCGAGTGCTTCAAGGATTTGGCGGAGGAGGTATCGACGTGCTTGTGGAAATTATACTTTCGGATATTACAACATTGAAGGAACGTCCATTCTATCTTGGATTAATGGCAATCCCCAATGCCGTAGGGAATATTCTCGGACCGTCAATTGGAGCCATTTTTAGCAATTATGCAAGCTGGAGATGGATTGGATGGGTGAACTTGCCAATATTAGGAATCAGCGCGCCTCTTGTTGTTTTTTTTCTCCGTCTAAGACCAGTTGAGCTTGATGAAAAATTATCTGCCAACCTAAAGAAACTCGATTGGATTGGTATGATGCTGGTTGTAACTGGTATCACCATTTTTGTCCTACCACTCAGTTGGGCTGGCTCACTTCTCCCATGGAAGTCGTGGCAAACCCTCCTCCCAATACTTCTAGGGGCCGCTTTGCTTGTTATATTTGTGGTATATGAAGCTAAGCCCAAAGTTCCTATCCTGCCTCATCGTCTTTTCCACTCGAGAACTGCAAACATGACCTTGGCGGCGGCCTTCGTACATGGCATGATCCTGATCTCGCTGTTACAGTATCTGCCTTTATTTTATCAGGCCGTAGAGCTCGAGACAGCGATCCGATCTGCGGTCTCCTTACTTCCCACCGTCATCATTAGTGTAGTATTCGCAGCTATCTCGATGATGATGATGGTCTCGGTCGTTGGTGGATATGTATGGATCATACGATTTGGCTGGATTATCATAATCCTGGGAACTGGATTGCTAGCACTTTTTGACGTTGGATCTTCGTCATCGCTACTTTTTGGCCTTCCAATTCTTTGGGGAATGGGCGTGTCCTTACTGCGTCTTCTTCTGCTCCCTATTCAGGCAAGCGTGAAAAATGTCGATGATACCGGCTTGGCAATCGGACTTTTGCTGACAATTCGAATGTTCGGAGGTCTTATCGGACTTACAGTTGCGTCAACGATATTCAACTCTGTCTTTTCTGCTTCCATTGCTTCTATTGAATTGACAGGAACTCTTTCTCAGCTCCACAACCCAAGTAAAGCTGTTTCCTTCATTCCAGAGCTGAGATCTCTGGAAATATCCCCAAAGGTCCTGGATGCCGTTTTGAGAGTTTATCTTGGGTGCTTTAAGACTATTTTCTATACGATGGCAGGGTTTGGAGGTCTGGGTCTTCTCACTTCTCTTCTTACTGAAGACCTGGACTTGAACAAGAAGGATGTCGGCCAACAGCGGTTCGAAGAATGATGCACAAAATTTGTCTTAATAATCGTGAATTTAAGGGCTGGATGCGGTAATTTTGACATAAGAATAATTAGATCTTAATTAATACGATTTCATTCAAAGAGGCTCGATACTCAGAGAGATAGCGCATGGTAGGCGCAATAAGACAATGTATCACGTGTGCGAGCTTGGCAGATGCGGTTCAATGCTACCTTCCCAGAGCAGCATTTTTATTGTGCGGACATTTTACTCCCAATTCCCTTCGCAGGTCCACAGAATTTCTGTCGATAACGATAAGGGAATTACGCAGTGCGATAGGTAGGTAGGTAGAAATATGGAGTTCGTATCTTTTCATTCGTCTCAGCAGTAAATTGGCGAACGATGGTTGCATTGAGGCTGACACCCACGTGATGCTGACAAGGTGGTGTCACGCACAAAACATTTCGAGCATCGCATCATGATGACAACAGCGACAAGTGTTTTTGATTGTCCAACTCAAGAATAGTCTGTAAGTTCTCTAAATCTCACGTATTGTTTGAGAACTTCAACAAATAGAGCCGCGATAATGGCGTCCGTGCAAGAAGCATCAGCAACCTCAATAGCTTTGACAAATCAGAATGACAATTTATGGAAAGAAGCATATGAAAAGTTTAAGCACGAAGATTCAGATCTATACGAAAGATTGCAGTCGATCATAGAAAAGGATTCCAATGTCAAAAACAATGTGGGACAAGAACAAGAGCTTGGCGACTTACTTTTTAGAAAGCGTCGTATAATGGAGGACAAGCAATGGGTATTATATTGGCGCAAGAAAGCAATCAAAATTGGACCACAGTTTGATAAGATTGTCAAAGTTTTCAAGTTGATCAAGCCAATTGGAGACGCAGCCGCTGGACTTGACCCCGTTCATGCGGGAATTCCATGGGCCTGTGTGTCGGTTTTATTACCGGTAGGTGTGATATTACTCTTTCTTGACCGGAGCTGATTTTCATAGCTCATTTTGAATCATTCCGAAGAACAGGAGGCGGCATTAAATGGGCTACAAAAAGTTGTAGAGATCGTCCAACGATTTACGTCCTTCAACTGGGACTATCTCAATCTCTCACAAGACAAATCGGAGAAGCAATTGAAGGAATCAATCTTGACTCTGTACTGGAAGATACTTCGGTATGAGGCGACCGCAATCTATAATTTCAACAGACACACAATTGCAAGATACGCTGCATCGATTGTCAGGAAAGATGAGTGGAAAAAGTTGCTCAGCGAGGTCGAAGATTACAGGGACAGTTTTATGAGCAATCTACAACTAAATGACTCACAAAACCAAAAGCGATTCGAAAACGAACTAAGAGAGCTGATTTTGCAGCTAGACAGAACCGATGAAAAAAATCTTGAAGTCATTCAATGGGTATCTGATAAATCATACATTCCACAGCATTACACTGCTCGACAATTACTTTCGCAGTACCCACATGCTGGAGAATGGATTATCGAGAAATATACCAAATGGCTGCATCGAAATGAAGCGCCTGCTTTTTGGCTACGAGGGACTATTGGAACTGGAAAGACGTCAATCATGTCTACCATCATTGAATCGTTCTATTCTGATGTAGCCAGGCAAGATGATCAGCGCATGATTTATTTCTATTGCATCTCACCAACAACATCAGATGATGTTATTCGAAGTCTGGTGTCCCAGCTGGCGTGGACTTTAGATGGCAACGCAATAGAAGCTAGAATCGTTGCCATGTTTGATGATGCAAAACCACCTAACCCTACTATACCGACAACCGACGAATGGTCGGCCGCGCTTCTAAAATTGTGTCAACGAGTCAGTAAAGTCATCATCGTCATAGATGCCCTTGACGAATGCGTTGATTTCGGCAAGCTTCTAGCAATATTGAGAAAGCTTCAGGTCAAGCAGCTTGATGGTATCAAGTTTGTATTTTCAAGTCGATTGAATGTAGATGTGGACAAGGTTTTCACTGCATCAGAGGGTGTTATTTTGACCACCGAAGATACATTGAAGGATATGTCTGAGTACATTGAGAACGAAGTAAAATTTAAAGAGGAAGATATTGATTCTAATGACGAGGAAACCAAGCGACAACTCATGGATCGGATAGTGCGAGTTCTATCAAATTTTGCAGGTGGAATGTGGGTTGTATGCCTATCCGACGTATGCAGAGTGACTGACGTAATCTTAGGTTTAAATGGGTCACCTTGCAACTTGCAATAATGTTTCCGATCGAAACTCAAACATTTTTGCCCGAAAATATTGAGATCCAGCTGTTGGATATCGAAAATCGGAACAGTTCCTTGGAGCAATCCTTGAATGGTGCATATGAAACGGTGTATTTGATGAACACCAAGCCAGGAGCTTATAATACTAGTGTCTTCAAGTCAGTTTGTCAATGGCTATTGTGCTGCAAAACTGCACTGCCCGCAGAAGATGTCCTCAAAGTTATTGAACTGTCGCTTGATCATGATTCTAAACTTCAGAGAATAACGCGAAGTCCTTTGAGCACAAAAGTTGTCTTGCATGTAAGATAAATCTTGGATGATGGCGCAGCATTATAATAAACACTAACCCAGTTCCAACTAGTGCTGTAGTAACTTTGTTATTCAAAGTTCGGAAGGCAATTTTCGTTTCGCTCACTTATCGGTCGAGGAGTATCTTATCAATCATTGCGCTGTGAAATCCGAGTTCCTATATGAAGAATGTCATCTTTTCGTGATGAAGATCTGCCTAGCTTTCATGGAGCAAGAAAGGATTAATTCAGTTACAAAACTATGGCTCAAGCAAAGTTCAGAGGCTACCCTGAGAGACCAGATAGGGAGCCTGGGGCCGGAGATTCTTACCTTTCAAACATATTCCATCTCTTATTGGGCATATCACGCCAAAAAATCCATACCGGAAAGAAGATCCAGAGAAGCTCTCTACAAACGTTTTTGTCTTGGTGCCAAGCTGAGCCCCTCATTACAGTGGTGGTTCTCTCAAATCGACGCCGATAACTACTCAGGAAGCATGACGAACCAGATCGCAGAGATCGCAAACGAAGTGATGGCCAATCTTCCAAGACCAGATCAACGTCCATCCAAGAGTCGTCTTATAATGCTAGGAGTAGCCTTCAATCTTCCTGAGATTTTGGAGAACGGGCTCAACAATTATAAGAAAGAAGTCGATGCGCGATTACGTACTGGTCTTACCCCATTTCTTGTGGCGATTAGGAATGGCAGCCCTGATTCAGTGAAGTATCTCCTAGACCACGGAGCTAATCCTACTCAAATATCCGTCGCTCATAGACAATGGACAAAGTATGACATTATGGGCATGCCAGAGGCTGATGAAGATATGGTGTATTGGGTGACTGGCATGGGTGGCAGCCCACAACAACTTGAAGGCCGTTTGGAGGTAGAAAATGTCCTTCTAAATCACGAGAAGAGTCGAAATCATTTTCTTAATCAACTCGACAGACATTTGAGAACGGATACTCATCCTGATCCATCGCGAGCTTTGAATGTTCTTTATAGAGTTTCCAACGAGGTACCAGTATCTGCAAAGATTTTCAAGTACAGAATCAAAACCAGAGGTCTGGGTGAGCTGGGTCAAGTTCTTGACCTTATGGACGTAGAGACTTTTGACGAAGAAATGGTAGCGGAAGTTATTCGTCATGATTCTTGTGAAACCGTCAAGAACGTGTTTGAATTTAAAGAGATCAGCTCGATCACCGAGCAAATTGTCAGGAAGGCCATTGAGAACCTTGACTCTAGGACTCTCGCATATCTTATGAAGCAATTCGGTCATGATGCCCTAACACGAGAGATAGTGATTGGTGCAAAGCCTCATTCTCACGAGGTTTGGAAAGTAATACTTGATGTTAAGGGGATTCAGTTCATCAACCAGGAGGTTCTTGGCTCGCTGTTCGACACTTGGGCAGAGCCCGAAGCTGTCACCCTTGTTTTGGATTCTTGTGGCACTGATATGGTCGGAAGTTCCCATATTGAAACTATAGCCGGTTCATCATATTCCGATGCTCCTGAGATATTGAATATTATTCTTCGCATAAGAGGATCTTTGGATGGTTTGATCACAGAGAAAGCAGTTTTTGAAGCTCTTCAGGGAGGACGTCCCAAAATGGCAGCAGTTTTGCTAGAGAATTCAGAGGACCCTCCATCGTTGTTGACTGAACGGGTCAAAGAAATGGTTGCTAAGTATGGTGGAAATGCTGGGATGCTGGTTCTTGAAAAGTTTGCCAACACTCGTGATTAATGATTCCGGCTGGATGTTTTGCAAATTCTACAATTTGAAGCTGTGAAGAGAAATAAAACGGACTAATTTGTTGGGAAATTTATTTATGGAAGGGTTTTAGGTGAATTGAAGTTTCACACGACAACAGTCAATGTTCTAGCCCTCAAGCAGGAGGTCCAAAGAGTCTAGACTATAGTCCAACGGTCCAAAATTTTGGAACTCTTAAACCCTTTGAAATGCTGAGATTGTTCTAGACATTGAGTTAGCTTTGGTTATTGAATTCTCTTGAAACAATGAAATTACAGGATTGACAATGATATTCTTAAAATCTCAAAGTTAACCTCTTAGATTGAACTACCCTCCAGACTACTGGAAGCTCTTTTCACAAATTCCTGTGTATTAATGACTGAGTCCTTTCATCCCAATGATCATCAAAAACTAGCCTACCTGCCACGCTTCTATTTCTTTAATACCACTCCATTAACCAACTTCAAACACTCCCGACGCTAGCCGTAAAGAAGACTTTCGAAAAAGATTGTCTTACCAAACTTTTGAACGAGCTAGCATTTGGAACTGATACTCTGATCGACGCTGCGCTGAATGGAGCTGAATAAAGTCTGGTTTGTGGTGGTATCACGCAAGATCGCCGTTCTAGCCGAGGCGCGAGAGCTGGATGCCGTTGTGGGATATGACTGACTCCCAGTACCAAATGAAAGGCCAGCGTGTCGTATCTCATTGCAGTTGTCGAGGATATCTTCCGTTGGCAACCCTTCGATTTAGAGCGAAAATGCACTATTTGTAGGATATTGGTATCTCATAATTTTGTATGTGGGCAATATCCATGGAGGGGGAATTGAATTTCTAATTCTGTCTTGAATTTTTGAGCTTGACGTTAATCATTCATAACTCCACCCACCAAATGAGCCAGCAGCAAATAGTAGAACCTTTATCGTCAAGATCACCCACTCCCGTATCAAACATGCCCCTCAAATCACTCTCCCGCCAGCAATATCTATCAGAGATATAATCTCTACTATAAATATCACCATATTTTGCGATAACTTCGTGTACCCAAGAATCACATGGGTGAAATGAACCCTTGAAACGAAGAGCTCACTTGACTAAGCTGTAAATATATACAAGGAATGAATTGGGACAAGCTCGCCTATCTCATCAGAAAAGCCAGAGTTGATATCGAATCATAGTAGCTGCAAGGATGATCCGGCAATTCCATGATCAAAAGCAACAGGGGGTATGTCTTTTATCATCTTGCCATCCTCCTCGAATCAGTGATCTGGTACGAAATCATCGGGATCCGCGCTGAACAAAGCCTCTTTCCGAAAAAAATTCCATGTACTAGGTATAAGAATACATTTATTTAGGATGGCATATCTATTGTAAATGATCTCTGTCTTACTTAAATAATGAGCTCAGAAGCGCGGGCAAACTATTTCGACCAGAATTTCTCGTACAATTTTTCCTTTCTACGGTGTCAAGAACCCTTGAACATTTGTGCTCTATCGCATCAAATATCCATGCACAATGAAACCAATAGTATGAATTGCTTTCAAACATCTTGTTATTCTGTCACTCCACTTCAAGCAATGGATACTGTTGTGTAGATCGATTTTTAGTCTAGTTCATACATCGCGATCGATAGGTTCAAAAGATGCCCACTTCACTTGAAAGTTTGAAAATTTAGGTATCGCTAAACAAAACACAAAAAGTTGCTCAATCAAAATAGTTCATCATATAGTTGATTATTTTGTTGTAATTTATATCTACAACCGACTGACCTGGCCAACTTTTGAACCCAGCCATTACGCCAAACACCATACTGATAATCACATACTGATGATCATGCACAAGATATTCCTCACTGTTTCCATCCAGTAAAATCTATTCTTCCATAGCCTCATTCTTTGAAGAACTATCTCCCCATAATCCCTCCAACTTGAATTCTTCAGCCCACTCCTTAACAATCTCCTTTTGGTCACCCTTGACATCCTCGCCAACGGTGGCACCAGCAATCTTCTCTGGTGCGATGGCCAAGACAGGCGCATCCATCCATCCTTGAATTCTACCATCTCTCCAATCTGTGATGACTGTTGTAGCAGCACTGCTGATATTTGGCACACCACCCTTTCCAAGTCTTCCTCTCTTTCTCGCAACTTGAATGAGGAAGTCCGAAGTCGAGTCACCATTCACCGAAACCAATGGTGGTAACCCATAGACATCCATCAGTTTGTTGAGCATATCTTGGGAGGCGCTCAATCTCTTCAATAACAATGTTACAGCGGGCACTGGGTCCTCAATTTGCTTGGGGGGAATAGCGTTAAGGAGAACAAGTCTAGCTTGCTCTTCAATTTTCGATGCCTTAGATTTATCACCGGCGGTTGGGAAAACAATACCAGGAGAATCGAGTAAGGTCAATTTGCTATCGATCTTGACTGATCGGAGAGATGTAGTGACACCGGCTTCAGCACCAACTGGGCATGCTGCACCAGCACCACCAAGACGTGATGTAAGAGCATTGATGACCGAAGATTTTCCAACGTTAGGATATCCAATAACACCAACAGAAACCGAACGCTTGAGTTGTTTTGCTGCGGCAAATGATTTCAAAGCCTTGAAAAGTGTTTGCGAAGTACTCTTAACAGTCAATTGACTGTGATTGAAAGTATGTGCGTTTGCTGCTGGTCCAGAAGCTCGTAATGGTAACGTTGGGAAATATCTTCGGAGGTGAATGAGCCATGCTTTGAGCACCGGAGGAGGAATAAGATCGATTTTGTTGAGAATGAGAATCAATCTCTTTCCGCCACTTGCAGCAGCCATAACCATACGTTCGACTTCCTTCGATCGGGTACCTTCGGGATCGCGAGCATCGAGGACATATAGAACAACATCTGCCTGATCAACAACTTGCTTGAAAACTTTGTCGAAAGCTTTTCTTGATCCATCTTTTCGTGTAGGTAATCCGGAGAGCTTAACACCATCGAATGCATCATCTTCTTCTGATTCGGAATCATCATCCTCGTCCATCTCATCACCACTAACAAGGTCATCTTCGTATTGCGCCGCAGCAGCTTTGGCACTAGCAAGTAAAGCTGCCATAGGATTAGAATCGTCATCATCATCGTCCATATCCTCGTCCTCATCCATAAGTTCAATATCCTCCTCATCAACACCTTCCATTCTAGCCTCTACCTCTCTCTCGACTTGCTCTCCAGTCTTGGTAGCCTTCGCATCGGCTCGTCGTTTCGCAGCCTCTTCAGTCTTCCTCCTTCTTCCTTCCTCAATCTCTTGCAAGATCTTATCTTTATATGGGAACAAGTTTGGAATTCCAGGATCCTTCTTTAATCGCGATCGCCATTCTGGATTTTTCTTTCCCTCTTTACGAGCCTTCTTTTGTTTTGCGACTGATGCTTTCTCGATCTTGTGACGAAGACGCACTGGAACACGTTTACTCTTTGGCTCTGAATTGTAAATCAATTAGTAATTAAATCCTTTGAAAAATGATAACAGGTATCGTTCACTTACTTCCGACTTTAGGCATCTTGAGTACTGTTGTGCAATTCTCAAAAAGATGCTGTTGTTGATCTCAACTGTAGTATTTTCGATAATGGAATTTTTCGATTTTCCAAATCCTTATCGCACTAAAATTATTTTCTAATCCATCAACGCTAAGCCATTTTCTGTCTAGCTTCATCTCACTAATCCCAATCACGCAGCTCCGACAACATCGTCACATGATTCCGCCCGCTTCAATGGAGATGAGCACACTCCCTTATTAGACGCTTCTACTTATTGCTTGTGCTCCCCGCCCACGTCAACTTCCTTCATATTGAGTCAGAATCAAAAATTATTACTTTCCTTCATTCCTCATTCTCTATTTAATCTTGCCACTCCCCAAGAAACTGTTCAAAAAATTCACTCAACGCTTTAACAATCACGAGGTCTGAATCTATCAACAAAAAAAGTTTTGTTGCATATCTCATTTGAGGAGGAGAATTGCACAGTTTTAGTCGGATTTAGACGGGTCAAAGGGTCTCTCTCGCCAATTTCACATATCTCAACATCCACCCCACCAATTTACTTACGGTTACTTGTGTTTTGATCCTTGCGATCTTCTCTTTATATTCGATTCAATTATTTTTGTAAAAGGAGAAATCATGGGTTCTGTTCCGAGAGAGTTTTCTGCTCCTCCTCAAAAAGTGGTCTTTAAGGGGCTACTTTTCGATATGGATGGTACTATTATTGATAGTACCGATGCTATCGTTAAACATTGGCATCAGTAAGATTCTCCTTTCCAATAATGATAGTGAGAGATTTTGAATAACAAAAATTGCCAGGTTAGGTAACGAAATAGGAGTAGATCCTAATGTGATTTTACAGACAAGTCATGGAAGGAGAAGTATTGATGTCTTGAAGATTATTGCTCCAGAGAAAGCAAATTGGGACTGTAAGCTCTGTTTATTATCATCTGCTAGTCTTCAACTTTCAATTATATATCTATTGCTCTCACCATGTTTATATACCCTTAAATCGGCAAGAAGTCTTTTGCTTGGTTTATTCTCATACTACCTACTAGCGAGGCCTCGAGGGGATGCTTCAAAAACCAAGTTTGGTTCTTGAGTCTTATTCTATCCGAAGGCATGACAGGGTTAGAAAGGAATAGTCGATTCTCAATCCGAGTGGAATTTGTATTCCAGCTAGATCACAAATCGTGTTCACACTTATTGGGGAGTCAACCGTTATGTGACTCTTCCCATGCAGAATATATATATTCAAGCCCACGGCGGCATCTTGCTATAGTCCTACTTCTTCAACCTCATGTACCACCTAATCCATCCATCTATTCCACCACCCTCCTCCCCAATTTCCAACCCCCCACAACCTAACACTCCATCCAGACATAAAATACATGGAAGGACTCCTCCCCAAAAACTACGGTGACGACGCCGTCGAAATCCCCGGCGCCCGCTCCCTCCTCTCCTCTCTAACCAGCGCTTCCCACCCTTGGGCCATCGTAACATCCGGCACTTCCCCCCTCGTAACCGGCTGGCTCAACGTCCTCAAACTTCCCATCCCAGAGCATCTCGTCGTCGCTGAAGATGTTCCAAATGGAAAGCCTGATCCAGGTTTGTATTCCTCCCCAATCCTCTCTTCGAACCCCATCCCCCAAAAACACACTAACACTCCTCCCCAGCCTGCTACAACATGGGAAAAGCCAAACTCAACCTCTCCTCCGCCCCCGACGGCTCCCTCCTTGTCCTTGAAGACAGTCCCGCTGGTATCCGCGCCGGCAAAGCAGCCGGATGCAAAGTACTAGCCGTAGTAACCACACACACCATTGAACAAGTCGTCGAAGCCGGCGCCGACTGGGTTGTCAAAGATTTGGAAAGTTTGAAAGTTGTAGGAAAAACAGACGAGGGTGTTGAGTTGGAGATTTCGAATGCTTTGGTTTAGATTTGTGAGGATAGGAAGAGAATGAATATTAAGCGCGCATATAAATAGATAGATAGACACTCAATCGTTCGAGAGTCAGTCGCAAGAATATATAGAATACAAAGGTAAATTTGGGAGACTCGAATGAAACTTTATCAATGCTTTTACATTCAAGTCCATGAATCTCTCCTGCTTCCATTTGAACAATCCTCACTCCCCGTAACCTTCCACTCACGACCCCTAAATATCCCTTTCATACCACCCATCTCCCTTCCCTATATACCATCAAAACTCAATAAACAATCCATATTCAAATCATCAACCGACCTCCATTCAACAACCCTAAATCACCTCTCTAACAATTTCCACATCCAATCCCCCTATCCCATCCTATCTTATTCCCTCTCACCCTAAACTTTTCTACAGCATCCTAAACCTAGAATATCATCAAGCATACTACTACACACCCCATTCCTCATTACACCCGATTTTCTTATTTCACTCCCCCTTCTACTTCACAATCCCTCAATATCTCTTTTATACCACCTTTTCCCTTTTCTATGAATATTAACAAAATATTGATATTTACATTTCCAAATAGTTTTCTCTCTATCTCCAATTTATATCTCCTATGTCTCACTCATCCCAAAATCATATTTCAAATCCTAGGTTCAATTCAACTCTATCCTATCCTACCTCATATTATGCTACCTTATATTATCCAACAATCTCATATTATCTGAGAATCTCATATCATAGTATAATATACTATCCACCCATCCTATTCATTCCATCCATCTCACCATCTCACCACCACCTCACAACTTCAAGTCATATTCATCATTCCATCCATTCACCCATCCCATCCCATCCCCTTATTACAACCTCATAGTCTCACCCCATCCCCTCAACCTCATTACCTCATCATATCCCACCCCATCATCCCCTCACCCCTCACCCCTCACCCCAATCTCACCCCCAACCTCCAGCAACTCCCTCACCATCATTCTCCTTTCCCTCTCTCTTTCCAATTCTCTTTCCCTCTCTCCCCAATTCCAAGCAAAGAGAAATAAGTAAAAAGAAACCGAAAGTTTCAACTCTTATATCCTCTTACCAATCACCTATCTATTTAACATCAATACTACCACCACCATCATTGTTATTATTATCTTTATCATCATCATCAAGAATCTCCTCATCTCAATCCCTCTCAATATCCCCTCTCAATATTCCCTTTCAATATCCCCTCTCAATATCCCCTCTCAATATCCCCTCTCAATATCCCCTCGTCAATAGCCCCGCGCAAGAGCCACGCGAATATCCCCTCTCAACACACCCTCTTCAGTGGCATCCCAGCACAGCCCAACACACCCTCTTCATCCCCTCTCAAGTCCCTGTCAATAGCCCCTCGCAAGACCCCCCTCTGCATCGTCATCTCCTACCCACACACCCTCTCCATCTCATCTCATCTCCTACCCACACACCCTCTCCATTTTATCCCATCCCACCCTATCCCATCCCATCCCATCCCCTCTCCATCCCCTCTCATCTACCCACCCACTCACCTAAATAACTACCTAAACAACTACCAACTCTCAACCATCCCCTCCCAAATCGCAAAAAAAATTTGTATAAAATTCCAAGCGATCAATATACGTTTATGAATCAGGATAATTAATCTTAATAGTATAATTATGATTATGATTATAGTCAATACCATCACTATCACCATCACCTCACCATCACCTCACCTTACCTCTCCCCCCCCCCTCCCCATACCAGCCAGCACCAAGACCAAATACAGAATCTCCTCACAACATCACAACATCACAACATCACACATACACCGAAAATACAAATCACAAAATCACAAAAATCACAAAAATCACAAAAATCACAAAAATCACAAAAATCACAAAATCACAAAATCACAAAAACCACAAAAACCACATAAAAACCACACATCGAAACATCCAAACAACAACAGAATTATTACTAATATTTCCATATTCCATATTCCATATTCCATCTTCCACTTTCCCAGAGTATGCAAGGCCATTCCACATCTCTATTTCCCTTTCCATCCGTATCCATGCATATATATACCCATATCCCATCCCATTTCAGCCCATTACATTTCATTCCCCCGTATACCAGCTCCCTGATTCCACCTCTCAGATACCATTCCTCATGCATTATATCACCTCACCCCACGAATGAACATTCACATTCAACTCAGTATCCCCTTCGATCATCATCAATATCAATCGTCATCACGCAACACACAAAAACCACACCACCACCATCCATCCATCCACCCATTCATAATGCAACGACACGCACCACACAAGCAATTGGAATTCTCAACTCAAGATAAAGAACACAACACAGAACAGATGACAAATAGTCAGGACTCAATAAATATGTCCTTAGTAAAAAAACGAAAATGTTTACAAATTCTCAAAAAGCAAAACAGACAGAGGTATTCCCTTCCAAACTCCATCCCCCGATCCCACCCACACAATCATCCATTCGACCCTTACGTCCAATATGTGCTTCCATAACGGGTATAAACCAGTTAAATCAATCCCTATCCATCATATGCCAAAGCCTTGCACGCAATGCAAAAGTGTATATCCTGACCAGCCATAATACCCCATGCTCTTGAAATCGGCAAGAAGTAAACAAACAAATCCATCGATGCATGCCCTTGCTTGGAAAAAAAAATCAACGAAGCTAACCCTTAGCTCATATGCATTTCGTTGCCACCAAAGAATCCTCACACATTGAAAGTTGCGAGGTAAAAGAGAACAAGGAACAGACAAGGGTAGTTAACGCAACAATGAGAACGAAGTTGCCAAGGTACCTTTCATCTTCAAAGAAAAGGCACCCGGGAAGAAATTAAGTGCTGTGATGTTAAAAACAGATGAGGAAAAATACATCGAGAAAGAGAAGCAAAAGAAAAAGAAAAGATCAGGTGTAAAATTGTAAAAGTTATTGCATGAACAAGCAATAAAAAGTAAGAGCCTTAAAAGATGAAACATGCCATAGCCATGCAGAAAGACAGCCCATTTGGATGCATGACATATGATAATGCTTAGCATGGGAGAACCGGAATAGAACATTGCTGTGTTGTGATGCAACCCCATTCCACCATTGCTGGAGAATATTCGATGTAAGATATGTTGGAGGATGGACAGATCGAAATCGAGAAGAAGCATACACGATCATACTGATCTCGAGGTGTGTATCATATCTTCCTTCGTTTCATTCCCATTTTCTAGCATCCCCCCTACATTGTGATGCCATCATCTAATGTTGACTATGCAATATTCGTCTTTGTATCTCCATCTATTGCGGTTGACCTGTCCAACCCCAGCCAGCACTAGTTCCAGTAGGTTGTTGTGGAGCCCAGCCTTGAGAGCTAGGCTGGGGGCCGGAGGTTGTAGGTTGCATAAATTGATGATTGCTTGACTCAGGTTGATAAATATTTCGATTTGGTGCTGCATAATTTTGCCCCATCCCTTGCATACCAGAATATTGTAATGCGGGTTGCATTTGAGGATTGCTTCCTGATTGTCGAAGTGGTGGAGGGGGAGGTTGATGAGGAGATTGTTGTATATGTGGCGATTGCTGACTAGGATGGGATGGGTAGCTTGGGTTGAACGCATGTTGCTGTGGGGACTGCTGCTGTGGTTGACTTGATGGCCACATCTGATTCTGAGACGTGAATTGATAAGAATTCGTCCCTTGATTCATATTGCTCGCAGACGCAATTGGTATGCTGGGAGATCGTCCTGCTGCTTGCTCCTGTCTTGATGGTGCACTTCTGATCGGAGGCTGTGAAACAATACCAGGTTGATGAGAAGCCTGCGAGTAAGAAAGATTCTGTGGGTTCTGATGTGCCAAGATTGGTTGCTGCGCAATACTTTTTGATGCTCGTGGCGAGCGCAAATTTTGTGCAGATGGAAGACCGTCGTGATTACCAGTAGCTTGCACAATGTTACCTCCAGAGACCTCATGAGGTTGTCTCCATCTTCGTTCCAGATAGTCGTGACTACGGCTTCGTTGTTGATTGATCTGCTTACTATATTCAGCTGCTTGATTTACATGATTTGATAAATCGGCATGTGAACTAGGTTGGGTCCTATCTTGGTACGCAGTCCCGGCTAGTTCTTGTCTTGGACGTTGAATGCTGCTGTAGTCTCTCAAACGCATATCAGTTTGTTCTGGTGCAAGAGTGGTTATCATGGGGAGTGGGTTAGTGGCACTAGGAATACCCATCATAGCAGATGGAACCGCTGCTTGCGGGTACCCATAATGTCCCGGGCCATTGCTGTAAATATCGCCATGGTGGTGACTTGCAGCAAGAGCAGCAGAGGCTTCGGCAGCAGCGGCGGCATCTCGGGCTTTTGCTGCACCCGGTCTCTTTTCCCCAGCAAGATCATCCTCAGTAAACCCTTGCTTACGTGCTTTCGTTTCCCAATAATCATCTCTAACCCGACGCCCATTAACGATAACCCTGCTACCAAATTGCCGGAACATGGATTTTGCAGTAACGATCGCTATTTGGCGAGAGCGGTAAGAGAAAGGTAAGATTTCTTGATGGATCAAATCTTCCTTCTCTGCTTGGGTGGCGATGATCTTGTAGAGAGATCTATTCTTGTTAAACAGTAGATATGAGTCCCGGTATCCTAGTACTCTGGCACACTCTGTTGCCAACATGAATAGTTTATCCCCTCGATTTGGTACATAGAATGTTCGACACCTGTATTCGCGTCCATCTGTCAAATGGCCCATAGCTGAGACCTTCTTCTCACCCTGCTCATCATATTCTCGTGGAATATACTCATCTCCCTCTGCACCCAACTGGTCGGTGGTATGATCCCTCACAGTTGGTAAAGCTTTGATAACTGGCTTGGGAGTTTGTTTAGGAACGGGCGTTTGAGCCAAGTTTGAGCCTGGTGTACGGTTATGAGGTAAGACCGCATGCTGCGACTGAGGAGTCTGCGGCTGGCCACTTTGGCTTGAGGTTGAAGTTGAATGTGGCATTTGGCTTTGTTTGGAATTTTCTGAGGTATTGACGGCCGACTTCAACTTCATCGGTCTTCCTCTCTTTCGGGGCTTTGAGTCACCTAGAACAAGATATGAGTGTCAGCAATAT